CCCACTCCCCCATCTCAATTCAATTCCTTACTAAGAGATATGGAATGCGGAAGTTCTGCCTGATTTGAATCGCTTCCTATTGTTTGATTTACCAAGTGCCTTTGCACTCGAATACAGACAACACTGATAACCGAAATAATCTGGCACTTAGTAATAGAACAGTGGCTCTACTGTGACTGGAACAAAAAAGGAATAATTATCAGTTTGCTTCTTATCGCAAGAACTGCGACTTTTCCATATTTCTAAGCTGAAATCTTTGTAGAAAGTCGAAGACGACACGAGTTTAACCCGTGCCAAAGTCGCGAGTGCAATGACCCTGAAAATATCTCAATGTGCAAATGCAACAGAATTTTGTTTTGTCTGCTAAAAGATTGTTGATAAGACAACTTGAGATGATTTGTGACAACAAAGTAAATTGCTGGCTACTTATATTTTAATTGCAGTACAAATATTTGTTTATTTGAACATTTTTAATTAGCTTTTAATTTAATTGAAACCTTAAAAGCTGTTGTTATTAGCTTAGTAATGAATATAAGATTGATCATAATAATGTGTTAAGAACTTCGACCTTTACCTAATTCCAGATTCTTTTTTTTATATTTTGAATGATTTTAAACATAAAAAGGAATAGAAGTAAATTTATATGGTTCAGATTTAAGAATCTACATTAGTTTAGTTAAATTTAATTTACAAATATGTAGGTGAGGGCATTCCCTATTCGCCTTGGCCTTTCTACCGTTTCGCATGATATATAATTTCAATGCGCTTATTATTATTATTTTGTTTCTGTTTTGTTTTCTGTTTAAACATCAGTCAGCGCACGAACAACAACAAAACAAAACAAAAAATAACACAGAAAGCGAGTCGCGACTCGCGAGGAATAACAAAGCAGAAAATAAAAAAAAATACAGAAGAAGGTTACAAAATACGTTGATTAAAATTCACAAACAAACCGAAAGAAGAAAGGGGCACAAAGAAAAATGATTATGCTTGCGATTCACACAGCAAAACGTCGCAGCTGAGGAGGCACCACCATCATTTCCCTTTTCCTCATCCGACTTTCGGAGCCCCTGCAGCACCAACCACCCCCTCCCATCTATCAGCTGTGTGGCGCAGTCAAGTGCAGATGAGCATTTGGGTTGAAAGCGCAACGGACTGAGTATAAAGTCCATCTTTATCTCTCGTTTTACATACGTCCCCCCAATTTATCTGTATTTATATTTGCACTCTCTCCCAATGCTTCCATGCTGGGTTTTCCAGCTGTTTTCAGATAAAAAAAATAGGGTTAGATTAACCAATAATTATGACCAACAGGAAAGCAAGCTAACTTCGAGAAGCCGAATCGGAAATCGATTATTTATTAAAAGAAAACACATAACTAAGCTAAAAAAGCATTCATTTAAATTAGGAAAGCTGTTTTATATTAGTTTTTGTAAGGTTTTCAAATTTTAAAAACTTAAATTTCGAACATTTTAACGATGTAACCCCTTATAAAATTTTGAAAATTTTCGAAATTTTATTTTTCTACCGGACATGTCTAGAACGACTCGGTTTTTTATGCTGATGAAGAATATATATGAAATATAGGGTCGGAAATGACTCCTTCACAATGTAAAGCGCTTCTGACTAAAATTATAATACCCTTCAAGGGTTTTTGACTCTTTTTAAATATTACTAACAAAGATATTGAACCTTAAAGATAATATCTTTTTTTAGAGAAATTCGATTTTAGATAAGACTTGAATTACTCCAATCACAACTTCTGCAAACCTCTCGCAAATTGTAGAACCAAAGAGCCGGATATACAAACATATTTATAAGATACAGATACCTTTTTTTTCGTAATTTCAAACCCTGAGGTGTTTGTAAAAATAGTAAAAGCAAAGCTTCATAATGGCCAAGTAGACACCTCGGTTCGGTGGCGGGCTTAAAATGCAAAATGATAGACTGTAAAAATGTCTGAACTTGTGCAAGCAAGTATGTGGGGGCGGGGGAGGGATGAGCTTAAAGGGATTTACCAAACGGAAAATTACCCGAAAAATGTAAGGCTCAGAGAAAGAGTGAAAAGCGAAACGAGAGTGGAAAAGTGCTGCCTGTGGATTCTCAATTGGTTCAAGTGAAGTAACAATGGGGTAGGTCTCCGGGCGGGTGTGAAAGTGGCCTCCATTAAAGCTGATTACGATCTGGAAAGGCAGAGGCAGAGGCAGCCAGCCGACAAAAGAAGGCAGAGATTAACCGACTCACTTGGAAGAAAAGCAGACATTGATGTAAGGGAATTCAAGACATTTCATCGGGTTCGGTTTGGGGGATTACCTATATCATAGGGAGTGTCAGCTATCAAGGATTATTTCTGACCAAGAGCTATGAAAATAAACAAAACAAAATATTTTAGATCTTCAAAATGAGAAAAATCTTTGGCTTTGAAAATGCTTTCAGACTATTGGCGCTATAAATTTGTTTGGCCAAAGTAAACACGTAAAGGTCATTGCATTCATGTATACAAAATGCACTGAATTTGTAATGGTAATTGGTAAACAATTTTAATGTTTGTTTGATTTACCAGAGAAAGTAAAATAAAGGTTTTTACAAATTATTAACTGGTATCTGAATTAAATATTAAATGAAGATGTATTTCTTATAGGAATGTAATTAGGGAAATTGGAAGCTTAATAAATACAAGACAAGGAAAAAATAAAAAAATTAAGTAGTTTTCTACAATTTAATAGACAACAAGAAAGGAAACTAACTTCGGCAAGCCGATTTTCATCCGATTTTCCAATCGTTGCTATGGCAGCTATATATATATACATATATATATATATATATATATATATATATATATATATATATATATATATATATATATATATATATAGTCCACCGATTCGCCATGGTCCGATTTATATACTAGTAAAATTATATAGAAGAATAACTCCATAGTTCCCTTTAAATATCTTGCCTTTGAATATGTGCCAATCTCGCACATCTGTGCATATGATTCCCAACTGGTTCTAACATCCCCGGAACGAAGTGAATTCTCCCGGCCAAGTCTCAGATATTTGTTGTGTTACAAAAGTTGCAAGTCATTGTTTATTAGTGTTTAAAGTTTGTAACTGATTATAATACATACTTACTTCTCATAGATATTTACTGATCATAGTTACTTACTGGTCATAGATACTTACTGTTCAGAGTTATTTACTGGTCATAGGTACTTACTGGTCATAGATACTTACTGTTCGGAGCTACTTACTGCTCATAGTTACTAAATGCTCATCTCGCACATCTGTGCATATGATTCCCAACTGGTTCTAACATCCCCGGAACGAAGTGACTTCTCCCGGCCAAGTCTCAGATATGTGTTGTGTTACAAAAGTTGCAAGTCATTGTTTATTAGAGTTCAAAATTAGTAACTTATCATACATATTTACTGGTTATAGATACTTACTGATCATAGTTACTTTCTGGTCATAGATACTTACTGTTCAGAGTTAATTACTGATCATAGATACTTACTGTTCAGAGTTAATTACTGATCATAGATACTTACTGTTCAGAGTTATTTACTGGTCATAGGTACTTACTGGTCATAGATACTTACTGTTCGGAGCTACTTACTGCTCATAGTTACTAAATGCTCATCTCGCACATCTGTGCATATGATTCCCAACTGGTTCTAACATCCCCGGAACGAAGTGACTTCTCCCGGCCAAGTCTCAGATATGTGTTGTGTTACAAAAGTTGCAAGTCATTGTTTATTAGTGTTCAAAGTTAGTAACTTATCATAATACTTACTTGCTGCTCATTGATACTTACTGATCATAGTTAGTTACTGTTCAGAGTGATTAACTGATCATAGATACATACTGTTCAGAGTTACTTACTGCTCATAGATACTTACTGTTGAAAGATACTTACTGATTCTCTTCATATAACAACGGTTTCTCTGGCAGCTTTATGTTAGAAAATTCCGATTTTCATCAAACTAAAAACGAAATTTTATAATAATAAAAGATAAAGATAATCAAAGTAGATAAAAATATGTTAAAAACTGTAAATGTTAGTATTTACCTGCAAGGGTATAAAAATGCCCTAAAGTTGGTGTTTAGTCAATAAGTTCCAGGCCAGACCTTCAGTCGTAATGTGTTGTTTATATGGTTAATATAGCCCTAAGGTGTTGTATATTGATAAATATAGAAACATGGATGTTTTCCTGATAATTCGTATTCAACAATTTGAGAATCTAACGTGTGCTGACGCTGAAAAAAATAGAGAGGTGCGACTGGGGGCTGGCTTTGTTTATTAATAACTCAATTGGGTGTGCTGGCAGCGAAACAAACAGAAACAGGCTCAAATGTATAAATGTTTATAATCAAGTTAAGTAAACAATTGTTATCATTGTGTGCCACCCTAATGATGATGATGATGCCTCCCTGTACGGGGAACGCTCCAACATCATTGTCATGCCGCCCATGGCACTTGAGTTCTACGCTTTTTCAGACGCCAATACTCGCACAATCAATCTATATATGGCTTGGTGATATAGTCGATCGGTAGCTATGGCGGGTATATAGGAATCTAAAGGCATTATCTCAACCAAAATTGTTACCATATCTGGCTAAGAGCACATTTAGATTGTATACATATCGCAAGGCTGCCGGTGAAGCACTTGAAGTGTGCCAGTGATGTCACTATTTTTGGCCATTTGAATATATACTTACAAGATGGTTTCCATCAGCCACCAGAGACTCTTTGTTTCCTATTAAACAATGCTAGGAATGCATATAATTTATTATTTTTGTTTATTCCGTGTGCTCCAGTTTCCCTCACACTTGTGTATATAGAAGTAATATGTGTGTATATATTTATATAATCGGATTATACGCCGATTATCAGCTGGCGGACAGTTGATTCACCTTTGGACTTTTGCAATCAACGTAGCCTAGAAAAATGCTTGAAAATATATATTTTATATTGTTCCATATTTTGTTTACTTGCAGCCAGCGGTGAAATCGTCGTCATTGAATGGCAGTATGCAATAATGGACTCCACGCCTAATGCGGCCCATAATCCGAACCAGAATCGGGATCTCCTAACGCTGCAGCCCCTGCGCCCGTCCCGCGGTTCTAGCTCTAATCTGCGCGCCAGTCGCTCTCCATCCGCCAGTCGAAGCATCGAGCCAAGTAATTACCAATTATGATCATTAGTCCTCCTCTCTGATTAGAAATCCGAATCCTTTTTCTCGATAAAAAATCACTATCCCAGTCCTTGCCTCCCATCCACTTAGCAATAGCTTCGACACGCTTAATTGGATTGATTGGCCTGGGTTAAAGCTTGAAGCTTCCTGCTGCTTATCGCCGGGTCTAGTGTCAATCAGCTCTGGAGCTCGATTTGGCTTGGGAACAGAGTTCCCCTGTCTTATCAGTGGGCGTCTCATTCAATTTGTGTTTCCGCCATTAACTAGTTTATAGAGCTGTAGGTTGAACAGAATTTATGAATGAAGAACAGCCCTTAAACAGTTTATATATACATACATATATAACAATCTTGAACTCTTAATCTTTGTAGTTTGTTTAAAAAGATTATAAATTAGTATTTGGAAATGCTATATATAATTCAAATTGGTGTTTAAAATTTGAAATTAGATTGAGGCTCAAATATTACGAGTTTTGAAAACTGGAAAATTTATATTTTTTTTTTCTTAAAATTTTCCGATTGTTCCTATGGCAGCTATATATATATATCGCCATGCTCCGATTTATATAATAGTAAAATTATATAGAAGAATAACTCCATAGTTTCCTTTAAATAGCTTGCCTTTAAATATGTGCCAATCTTGCACATCTGTGCATATAATTCCCAACTGGTTCTAACATCCCCGGAACGAAGTGATTTCTCCCGGCCAAGTCTCAGATATGTGTTGTGTTACAAAAGTTGCAAGTCATTGTTTATTAGTGTTAAAAGTAGTAACTGATCATAATACATACTTACTTCTTATAGATATTTACTGATCATAGTTACTTACTGGTCATAAATACTTACTGTTCGGAGCTACTTACTGCTCATGGTTACTAAATGCTCATCTCGCACATATGTGCATATGATTCCCAACTAGTTCTAACATCCCCGGAACGAAGTGACTGCTGCCGGCCAAGTCTCAGAAATGTGTTGTGTTACAAAAGTTGCAAGTCATTGTTTATTAGTGTTCAAAGTTAGTCACTTATAATACTTACTGCTCATAGATACTTACTGATCATAGTTACTTTCTGGTCATAGATACTTACTGTTCAGAGTTACTTACTGCTCATAGTTACTTACTGAATATATATACTTTATATGGTCGGAGATTACTCCTACACTGAGTTGCAAACTTCTGACTGAATTTATAATACCCTGAAAGGGTATAAAAATAGCCTAGATTTAGCCATGCTGAAGCATTCCTTTTCCTTTTTGTTATGCTTTTCCATTGCTATATGTTTCACCCATTAAATTTCACCCTGCCAGAAGATGGATGTTGGTGATGAGTCATCCTCCCAGAAAGCCACAAAAAGCCGCCCAGCTAGCAACAACCCCCTTTACGACCTTTACTACCCTCCCACCGATTTCCCTCCCGTTATGTTTGCACTGTTTCTGCGAGTTCTTGGCATCAACGAGCCTTACAAATATGCCATGAATTAATTAAATTTGTAAATTATATAGCCCACTTTTGAGTGCTTTTGAGTTAATTTATTATCTTGTTTTCATTGAGCTCTGTGCGGAGTAACATTTGTTATCTGTGTTTTTGTTTGCCTTCACTCACCTTACATGTTTCCGTTTATCTCTTTATTTTTTCCTTGTTTAGCTTTGTAACCGTTGAATGTTAGCCCGCCTAACTACTAGCCACACTTGCAAATCAAACAAAACCAATCAGAATCATTGATAAATGTAGGTATAAAAAGGAAATCAATTTATTTATTTATTTATTTAGCTAGTTGCCATACACCTGCACTTACATACGCACCACACACACTCATTGCTTTACATGAAACTGCTACTATGTACACGCTATTTTAAACGTTATTAAATGCCTGCCACTGCTTTTACTGTCTTTCTCTCTCTCTCTCTTCTTGCTTCACGCACAGGCTGTCTCTATGTCTAGCTGTCAATCAAAAAAAGTGAAATAACTCACTTGAAACACTCATTCATCGCACTCTCTACTCACACACACTCACTCACACACCTTCAAAAAGCAGACACAACACATTGCGCCTATGCGCATGCAACACTTTTTGCGAGCCTCACGTAAATTGATTTAAAAGCAAAAACTTTTAAAGAATAATAAAAAGAGCTGGCTGCAAAAAAAATTCAACTTAAATTCAATTTAAAAATGGTTTGCCCAAAAAATTCTGGCCATAAACTAACAAAGACATCTGTTAACTTAAAATAATAGAAAAAAACGAAGACCTTTAATTACACCTTAACAAAAAAGTAATCTATCTTTTGGAACTAATTTAAAATCAATCATAACTTACAAAAAACTGGTTTAATTATAACTCTGAAAGCGCTAATGTGTTGATTTTAATGTGCTTAACAAACTATTAAAAAAAATGAAAAATATATATTATTTATAGGGTCTGAAAAGACACCTTCCATTTTACTTTAAAGCCACAAAGCTAAAACGAAGTCTAACACTATTTCACATTCTACACACTTGTAACATTCATTCTACTATTCCACGTCCCATGACCAACTGAGCTAACTAAATAAAATATACAAATGAATAATTAAATTAAGTACCTACTAAAAAAAACGCATTCCATCAGCATCTCACAAACGGCACACACTCTTCACCACACGCTAAACATATTTTTTCGGAGCTAAGCCAACTGCGCCTCCCGACAAACTGAATTTAAGAAATGGGAAACCACTGAGTAGACCCAGAGAATAACCCAACATCACGTACTTTTCTATGCGCCACAATTCGCCAGTGTCCCGGGAGCGTGCCAGCGAGGCAGCGGCAGCCACACAGACAGCAGCAGCAGCGGCAGGCGGAACGACGGCCACATCCGGTGGAGGTTCTGCATCGGCAGCCGGAGGAGCAGGAGCAGCAACAGCTTCGGCAACAACTGGGGCAGGCGGCACTTCCGGATCCGGAACAGCCTCCGCGAACACGAATAGCAATTCCTCTGCCTCATCCAGCACAGTGGCAGCTGCACAGGCGGCTGTCTACAGCGGCGGCAACACGGTGACCGGCAGTTTGGGCAGCGGCGGGGTGGTGGCTCGTGGCTTCCGCAGCCACAGTCCCACCCATCGGCGTCGTAGTCGCGACCGTCAGAGACGCACCCATGGCTCCGATCAGGGCGGCCTGCTGGCCTACAGCGGTCTCGTCGGCATCAACGACATGACGGATTTCCTGGGTCCAAATCAGGGCGTAGGCGGCGTCGGCGTTGGAGGTGGAGGCGGAGGTGGCGGTGGCGGTGGTAGTGCTGGCACTGGCAGCGGGCTAGAGGACTCACGGTTATCTGGCAACGAGGACTACTATTCTTCGTTCGTTTCCGATGAGTTTGACAGCAGCAAGAAGGTGCATCGCCGCTGCCACGAGCGCAGCTCCAGCGTCCAGGCCATTGACCGATTGAACACCAAGATCCAATGTACCAAGGAGTCCATCCGTCAGGAGCAAACTGCCAGAGATGGTGAGTACTAAGATTGAATAGAAAATTCCCACAAATTAATCCAATTAAATTCTTTTATTCCAGATAATGTCAATGAGTATCTAAAGCTGGCAGCTAGTGCCGACAAACAGCAGCTGCAGCGTATCAAGGTAGGTATTCCTCTTATCATCATGGCTCCAAGCACCAAACTAACTAACATAATTCCATGTGCAGGCTGTCTTCGAGAAGAAGAACCAAAAGAGTGCGCACAATATCTCGCAGTTGCAAAAGAAACTGGACAACTACACGAAACGGGCCAAGGATCTGCAGAATCATCAGTTCCAGACCAAGAGCCAGCATCGGCAGCCACGTGAGGTGTTGCGCGATGTGGGCCAGGGATTGCGCAATGTTGGTGGCAATATCCGTGACGGCATCACTGGCTTCTCCGGTTCGGTGATGTCCAAGCCACGTGAGTTCGCCCACCTTATCAAGAACAAGTTTGGCAGCGCCGACAACATCAATCAGATGAGCGAAGCCGAGCTGCAAGGCATGCAGGCGAATGCCAATGCCGATGTCCTGGCGGCCAATGAACGATTGCAGCAGGTGCCCGGTGCGGGCACATCGACAGGATCTGGCGGTGGCGGTGGTCACAACAACAACAATAACACAGGCGGTGCTGGGAGCGGCACAGGGAAATTCAACAGTGACAACAGCGAATGCAGCAGCGTGACCAGCGAAAGTATACCGGCCGGGTAAGCTTAGAGGAGGTTTTGCTTAAAATTAGATTTTGCCTTGATGTAAATCTAATTTTATTCTGAACTTTCAACTTTGCAGAAATCAATCCTAAGTAATCTTGTTTTATATTTGTATTGACAGTTCTGGGAAAAGCCAGTCGGGTGCCAGCCAATACCATATAGTGCTCAAGACATTGCTGACCGAGCTGGCCGAGCGAAAGGCTGAGAACGAGAAGCTCAAGGAGCGCATAGAACGGCTGGAGGTATGTGTATACTACATTATACATTCCTAGCCAGGAAGCCAGGAAAAGTCTAATCCTTTTATTCGTGTTCTATTTCCGGTAGACGGGCCAAAAGGAATTCAACAATCTGACCGCCACACTCGAAAGTGAACGATATCGTGCCGAGGGACTCGAGGAGCAAATCAATGACTTGACGGAATTACATCAGGTTCGTAGTTCGTAGTTCTTAGTTCACTTGGCCGACACGCTGAGTTGACGCTTTGGCAGTTTGCCCGACATTCGTGCGATGCTCATGCCTTGCCACCTCTCTTTGTTCCCACAGAATGAAATTGAGAATCTGAAGCAAACGATTGCCGACATGGAGGAGAAAGTACAATACCAAAGCGATGAAAGACTACGTGACGTCAACGAAGTGCTCGAGAACTGTCAAACGAGGGTAAGTTTGAGGTGCAACACCCAAGCCCTCGCCCCTTCGCCAAATCCCTTTGCAAACAGAATCTAACCGGAGCACTTGCTTACTTGCCACACAGATATCGAAAATGGAGCACATGTCGCAGCAACAATATGTCACCGTCGAGGGCATTGATAATTCCAATGCACGGGCCTTGGTTGTGAAACTCATCAATGTGGTATTAACGATATTGCAAGTGGTACTCCTGCTGGTGGCAACCGCCGCTGGCATTATAATGCCGTTTCTCAAACAAGGTAACTAGTTGGGGTATTCATATATTGGGGATGTATATCGAGAAGAAATGATATGATATTTGTAATTGTAACTAATATATTTCTTTTCATTTTCTAGGGTTCGCGTTCTCACCACATTTCTGTCGATATGTTTCGTCATCTTTGTGATACGACAATGGCCGGATGTACAGGATATTGGATCGGGCCTTGTGCGGCATCTCAAGCAATCGCTGGTGGTCAAGTGAACATCTCATCTACCGAGTAGTCCGTACGTTCTTTAGTTAGCTTAAGGTCTAAAGTGCATACTTTGTATATATAGCTTATCGATGATAACGAGTATAACAATTATTATATTTTTAACTGAAATTGTATCAATTATCCATACGAACACACACTCACTCACTCTCGAGAAACTGTACAAAAACATTCAACCGATCATCAAACACAATCTCGCATCAAATTTAGCAAAATTGATTTAAACTACGTAATGTATGTAATAGTAACTTGAAAATGCTGACATGTCTCCGTGCATCACTCAACTACGTATATTTGAGCATACATAATATGTGTATGCATAACCTATATAAAATATTTACATTACTATATAAAAAGCTATTGAAATTATATATAAAATGAAAGTTTGTATAAATCCCCGATTTACCGTGTATTTATTTTGCACAACCAAACACATTGTACGTACGTAACGTTTGCCTAAAGAATGTAGCAACTTTCAAATGGTGGCCTAAACATCTAATTATAGATATATACCAATTTACACAAGTCGTCTAGGATAGTTCGAACAGCTGCCGTCTTTCCCAGCTTAGATCCAAAATAATTCCTAGAGGAGCGACTACAATTAAAGTTGAAAACAAATATATAAATATATATCTATGACAAACAAGAATTCAAATGCCAAGCTGTGTCGTTAATTTATTGCTGCGAGCAGCTCAGGGTGTGGGAAACTTATTTAACCTTTAAGATAAACCTTCCAGAGGGCTTAATTTATTTAATAATAAGATAATAATAATCCAAAAATAACCTTCGCACAACAATTTAATACACAGATCGATGATTAAAAAGGTCTCTGCAGCTGTATTGTGCTTGGAAGTGGAAACTGTTGGGATAAATGTATATGTATAAAAATCTGCTAGGTTATTGTCGTAATACAGATGATTCTGATTCAGATCCCAATGTAAAGATTATTCAATATAGGACAGTACCTGTTGACTTGTATTATCCGATGGGCCCAATATAAACCAAAATAGAGGCCATTGTTAAGTTGTTTTCAATTTCCTATGGAAAAGTTGGTATACGCAACTATATAAAACCATAATTTGACTGATCAGTCAGTTCAAAACGAGCATCCATTAAGAATCCAACTAAAATGAAGTTCATTCTGATTTTGGCTTGCCTTGTCCTGTATTTGTCCCTCACTAGTGCCCAGGACAGTTGCAGAGGCAGTCCTCGTAAGTGGAATTATATTAAATTAAACAGGTTAACAGGTTAAACAACGATGTTCTCTTATCTTAGGCAACCAAACTTGTATTGGCGGCAGGAATGAGGGACATCGGAATGGACGTAATTGCCGGAGATCAGCCAATAACGAAATGTGGTACTTCAACAGGAGAGCCAGGGACTGTGTCAAGATGAGATATCATGGATGTGGTGGCAACCGAAATCGCTACTGCTCCATCAGATCCTGCAGAAGGTCGTGCGGCTAAACATAAAATAATGATCAGATATTTACACCGATATTGAAAAACAATTTTAAAGTAATAAAATAAACATTTGGTTGCACAATTTAATAAATTCAATTTGGTTTTTGAAGTATTAAATATTTTTCCTTGCTAAAAGAACCACTGCAAAACCATCACAACTTTACAAGATTGTTTAGGCCAGAAAAAAACAGTTGCATAGTTTATATTCATTACGTTTATTTTGTTGAATGTAAATTAAATTTAGATTACACTGCCACAGCATTTCTAAATATATCTGCATCTATGCCCTAATTGATTTCGTTTTGTTTCGTGAACAGTTTTCATCAGTTGCTTTTGTTATAAGTAGGTTTCTTTTCTTTTCTTTAATTTCTTTTCTTTTGTTTTGTTTTTGGGAAAAATAATCACAAACTAGCGCTTAAGTTTTCTACTTGTAGTGGAGTGTGTTCTGGCAACGACGACATTGACTTTGAAATATAATTTGATCATATTTTGGTACAGTTCGGGTCGAAAATCAAATAGTAACATTGGATATCAGTTTCGTATGCTAAAAATAGTTAACTTAAAATTAGTTAAATCGAGAATAATATACAATATACAGGCCAATGCCACATAATCAATTTTTAATCGTTTACATTAATTTCATTCTTTTTTTTTAACTGGTTAACGTTAAATTAAAATGTCCACTTGATTAACAGTCGACTAATTTCGTAAATCAGCAGCTTGGTCGCTGTGTGTAAGTGTTGCAATGTGTTGTGTCTGTAATTGAATTACTAAACAAAAAAATAAACAATGATTAATCCGAATCAGGTAAACAATTGAATCTTAAATCGTTTTCTAATTTTCTTTCTTTGACTGTTTTTTGGTTGGGTGTATCGCTGGCGGGGGTACGGCGGTCTCTCTAGTAAGCCAATTGGGTTAATTATAAAATGTATATAAAATAAATCACAATTTGTATACGCCTATAATGACGTTGTGTGTGTTTTGTGTTTGCGTTTTGTCTCTGTGTCAGTATTTGTGTCTGTGTTTGCGGGAGGATGCCCTGGAAGTGGGACAGCAGCGCACAGTCCAACACAAGGTTTGGCTACATATTTATTAATATTAATAATAAACATTAGTTAGTTGTTTAAAACAAAGCAGCTGGCAGCCACAGCATTTATATCGAAAATCCAATCGAAAAACTGCATTCCGGATCGAGGATCATCGACTGGACAGACAACCTACAGTCTAAGGACTCGCTATTCATATGAGAAACTGGCGATCGGAGGCGCTATGCGGCAGTGCGGCCACGCCTATGCCGCCCTGCGTGGGCGTTTGCAGGAAAGCCGAATCATCGGCGGCCCCCGTCGTCTCCGTGGCAGGCGTACTGATTGCTATCGGTTCGTAGATCGAGCGATGCGGTGGCATATCGTCGTCGTCCTTGAAGGAGCCGCTTAAATTCGGATTGAGGATGTTGTTCGATGCGGGCGTAGCCACAGCAACTGTCCCCGTCACCGGCAGTCCCATGGCACCCATGGTACCAGACTCCACTTGATCCAGAAAGGGAGGCGCCGCCACACTAATCGTAGTCGGCTGGCGTCGGAAGAATGAACTGAAGGAGAGAAACGACTTACTATCTGTTGACTTTTGTGGTTTTATCAAAATGTTGTTCATACCCAAAGTTGATGCGAGACCAAATCGTGGGACGACGTTCACCCAACTGCTCTGCTAGATGGACCGGCAGGTTGGGCGCACGATCGAAGGGATTAATGCGCTCGTTGGGCGGACGCACGGCAGAATCCAGCAGAGCTGTGTTTAAAGTATTAAGTATTACGTATTTGAACAATCAACGAAATCAATTCGTCAGCAGACGTACCATTCTCGTCGTCCGAGCTCTGGGACTCCTCAAAAGGGTTCCGACCAGCGTCCCCTCGCCGGAACGTTCCGTGTCGTGTTGTTCCGGTCGCAGCAGCAGCCGCTGACACACTTGAGCTGCTGCCGCCAGCTGCACCAGCAGCGGAGGAGGCGGAGCTCACCTGGACTCCTCCCTGCCTGCCGTTTGATTGCTGCTGCTGCAAGAGTGGCGTGGTATCGTCGTCCGTATCGGTGACATTATCCAAAGAAGGCTGTCGACTCCGACTTGCACGTGCTTCGCCCTTCGTAAAAACCTTGCGCTTGCAAATAGGACAGACGCGACGATTTTCGGTGAGCCAGGGATCGATGCAGTGTGTGTGATAAGCTGGATGCAATAATAGAGATGAGATGGGATAATAAATCAACACAAAAATCATATCACATACGATGCGAGCAGGGCAGCACCCGCAGCTTATCGTCCTCGACAAAGTCCTCCAGACAGATTACGCAGGTGTCGTACTTGTTGTTCACATTGTTCTTAGTGTAGCGAAGCACCGGCAGCTTCTTCAGCATGCTCTTGGGCAGTCGATGGCGACGCAAGCGACGTTGCTCGCGGATGCACTTGTAGATCATGTAGATAACCTGGACGCAGGCAACAAAGAAATCCATTCGAAAAAAGAACGAATAATTTAAGGATCACACTCACCATTATGATGAAGCACAGGCCGATAAGTATGGAGAAGGGCAATATAAGCTGGGTGTTGATGTTGAAGGGCAACTCATCGTTGATGATCAGCACCACCTCGGGTGTGTTATATGTGGCCAACGCCTTGCCTGTCGTATGGCCCACAAATACGGAGGGTATTCTGATGCCCGTCGCATTATCGGCGGACATTTGCTCTGTAAAGTTAAAAAGGGCATTGAGTATTCTTCTATCTCTGTTACGGAAGTGGCTTCGCTCACCCAAGTCATCGCCTTCATTATTGTAGACAATCACAGCAGAATAGCTGGCATTCTGGGCTACTCGCACCTTGCGCTCAAAAGTACAATCGCCGCCACTGAAAAACATTCATAATTAGCCAAAAATCATTACTCTAGTTCCATTTGATGTCCACACATACCGAGATACCAGGGCCACAAATTTGGCATTGGCTGGATAATTCAGATGCGGCGGCCTATCCAGAGAAACACAACCAAAATATGGGCGCTTGGCGGGAACCACATACACTTTGAGACCATTTGAGGGCAGCTGGGCGCCAAATTGTGCTGGGAGATCATTAAACTCTTCAATCAACTGTAGGTAAACCACAAGGATTAGTATTTATTTCAATTTTAAGAGGATTTAACCAAAGCTTACCTGACTTGTGATTCGTCGATAGACCAGCACATGTCCCCTAGCCACTGCCGCTTCATGACAGACCAGGCACAAGCCCAGCAGGGTAATTATGTGGCAACTCCTCCTGGACATACTGCCACCCAGGACGACACAACTTCCGGCGACGATTGGGTTTTCCTCTATACTGTTATTGCTCTAGTCCGCTGTGTCCACTGCTTCTGTGATGTGTAAAGACCATCCGCACTATTAGCATTTCTCATCTGGGTTTCACTGCCAGCGATTGAGTTCTTTTCGGCCGTGGACTGAAAAGAAGAAATGTAAGAGAGTTAGTGAGGTAGGACCATTATTAGCAAAGTTAACCACTCATTTGCCAAGTGTAATTGTTTCTAAGTTTTCAGTGGTCAGCTTTTGTTCATCGCTTTTGCTTTTCTTGATTGTTTATAGACTTATATTACAACATTAGTAAATATTTAAACTATTGAAATCCGCAAATATTCGATATGTTGTCACTGGCTGTGCTATTAACCTGACCGACATGGTAAATGAGGATCAGGAGCGAAGGCAACCTGCGATATACATATTCGGCTCGGCTTCGCGTTTCAACGGCAAACAAACAGCTCTGCCAGCTGATAAGATAAACGGCTTGTGATCGCTGCTACATTATAATTTTTACGACCAAGTGCGCTGACTGTGCAGGGGGTCGGCGGTGGTTGGTACATATATGTACATATCTATGTATGTATTTACATATGTATGAGTTGCTGTTGATATGACTAAATTTTCCCTTCTTTCAGACATGTTAGCCGATCGAACAGCTGTTTTGTTTGTTGACGCAGCGACGACGATCAGTCCGTGCGGTTTCTCGAAATTATTGCAGTTGATGTTTATGCAAGCAGCAGAAACAATCAACGCATTTGGCCGCCTGACTGTGATTGAGCTCAATTTACCAATCAATTGATTTTATCGGCCAACTAAAACCGAGATCTTTTGGGGGCAGATTCGATTCACTAATCACTATCAAAGCATATGTAGATTCAGCCCTGCTTGCCGGCTCAAACTAGATGAGTCACTAGCTGATAAGACCCAGAAACCCATACATAGCTAGCTTAATCGAGAACAGAACGCAGATGGATCCCAGAGGATGAGAGTGAAGCAAACGTGGAAAGTTTGCTTTATGAAAAATTAATAAATCTGCTAACCCGTTCGGCACTCACACCCCCCGGTGCGGTGCGGTACTGTGCGGTGTGCAAATATGCCACAAAAATGTGTATTAAATTCACTGGCTAACAAAGAAAAAAACGTCACCAGGCATTAGCACATCGATAGACAAGCGGAGCAGCAGCAGAGACTTTAATGAGAACGTGACTTTATTTTTATTGGATGGGTAAACAATAAAATGGGAAGGAGGCCGACGACACACAGGGCTAAATATTCCGATGCGAAATTCAATCTGTAAAGGCGCGTGCGTCCGATAGAATTTCAATCTCCAATTGGTACAGGAATTTTACCTGCGAAACACAGAACCATTTCGATATCCTTACAATTTTTGAACTGAATTGATGGGTTAATGCTAAGAAGGCTCTCAATATAAACTCCTAATGTCTAGGATGAACCTTAAGTTTTGGGGTTTCCCGAACAACTATCACTTAGTATTCTTTTATTTTATTTATTTTTAATCTGCTTAATAATGAGGAATTATTTATAACTTGTTTGTTGATAAGAGATAATAGATGTTTAAACCCTAAAGCTAATTAAAGCTGTTTAGAAATAAAAAAAGGTCCTGTTTCTTGCAGCTAAAAACTAGTTTATTGTGTGACATTCTACATTGAGCCTTTCAGCCACATTTTCAATGTTCATTTAAGGCTTACATTCACTTTGAATTTAACGAGATGCGCTTATTTAATTTTGTATTTAAATTTAAATTAAATTATCCTAACACATCGATAATATCCTACAAAATCTATACAATATATTTACATATCTGCGGAAATTTTTTATTAATTTGCTTTGTTTAGAAGGCGCCGATATATCAAATTACACATTACACACCACCGCACACACGCAGCTCCCGCCCACACACACGCACATGCACACCTTGAACTTTACAAGGCACCACGAAAGGGGGGTATTATTCAAGGTTTTTTTTTTTGTAAGAATATCGGTATGTACATATGTATGTAAGTACGTATGAGCGTATAAACATGTAGAAAACGCCCCGCGGGTAACAGGTGAAAGGCGCCAAAGGATAAACGAATAAAGCGCCACCCAATTGAGAGCAGCAGCTAGAAGTTAATGTACTTCAATTTCGTAAATTCGCTTTTGTTATGCTTTTTTTCAGGCGTATCTGCTGGGACATGTGCATGTGTGTGTGTGTGGGTGCCTGTGACTGCTTCTGTGTATGCATTTAATTAACACAACAACAAAGCAGCTGAGGGCGATTTCCTGTGTTTTCCCTAACCATTTTTCACGTACACTCACTGTAAACTTAATTGCTGATGGTTGACTGGTGCTTATATTTCCTTTCTGGCAGATTTCCTATATCCAATCAACACTCGTCGCCATCGCTGTGGTATTGCGTTTTACTTTGTTTTGACCTGCTCCGGCAGGCGGACACCTTGGCTCCGTGTCTGGTAATCAACGGAATCCTCTCTATGTTACCCCCTGGGCATAACAGTCGTCGCGATAAGAGGAAAACGAACACTTTTTGGCTCACTTGCTAATTATTGGGATATTACAATTTACACGAACGTTAGAGCTGCACCAGCATCGATACCGATGTTTTCGAAAATGATCGATGTATCGCAATTTTATTTCTCCATGACTTGTTGAAAAAGAAAAGTAAAATATCGATTATCGAATATTAATCGGACCAACTTCCATCGCTAGTATAACAGCTGTTTTTAGAATGTTTGCGCGCTAGCGCAATTATGGGGAATGCAATGTTATTGTTTAGAATTTTTTGTAAATTCCCTCGAAACCCAATTAAATTCAAAAAATATCACTTGATTTCAATATTTTTGTATATTTTTCGAACAATAATGCATTTTGGATTACAAAGTTATTTAAATCACATGTCTGCTCCACCTACTTTATCCAGAGATACATCTTCCCCTGTATGGTGTGCTTGACGGGATTGATCTTCTTCAGGATTTTCGTCATGGTCTCAACCAAACGGTCGCTGGAGACGCCAGTCTTCTTGTTCTTGAACTTGGTGAGCAGCTCTGTAGCAGTCAGAGGCTTGCGCTTGAGATAGCGACGCACTGCCTCCTCGGTGATGCCGTAGTCCCTGCAAGAAGTGTATGTAAAAGTTAAAAGAAGCCTAGAGGGGTTCGCTGGGTACGAGGTACTCACTCGACTTTAGTGCCGGAAAAGGATGTGGGCAGCGAGTTGCTGATTTCGTTCTTGGGTCTCTTTGCCGGTGTACTGGTCGGACTGTTGCTGGTGTCCGAGCCGGTGAGGTCACTGGGAAGACTGTTCATCTTGCGTTTGCTGGCGTCTGTCGAGGGGGTTGGCGTGGCCGATCGCGATTTGTTGGCATTGCTGCTGCTGCTGGCTGCAGCACTCTCCTTGTCCTTCTCCTTCTCTTTATCTTTGTCCTTGTCCTTGGTGGCGGGCTTCTTTTTGGGAGGACCATTGCTTAGATCATCCTCAGAGTCCGTGCTGTCGGAGCTGAAGTCAGTGTCTGAGGAGTCGCCGCTACCATTTGACTTGCCCTTTTTGTCGTCCTTGCCTGATTTCTTCTTCTTATTTTTATCCTTAGCGGCATCGTCTTTGCCCTTCTCCTTCTTTTTCTTCTCGCCATCGGCGTCTTCCTTCTCCGATTCATCGGATTTCTTCTCATCCTCCTCCTCCTCGTCAGAGGTGAGTAACTTACGCAGCGCGTCCTCTTCGGCCACGCTCTTCATGTCCTTGTCTACCTTAGCCTCCGGATCCGGTTCGCTACAAACGAGAGAATAAAATGTTATCCAAACACAAACAAATTAAATATTAGTTTGACATACTCCTCACTGGAACTGGTATCGTAATCCATTTCCCTGCCCTCCTCGTCACCATCGTCAGACTCCTCGAAGGCCTCATCATCCACGTCTCGCTTCTTTTTTTTCTTTTCCGCTCCCTTTTTGCCCTTGCCCTTGGCCTTGTCATCATCGCTGTCTTCCTGCTCTTTCTTCTTCTTATCCTCCTCGTCCTCCGAGTCGGACTCGTCCTCGGAATCGATCCATTCGTCCATGTCGGTGATCTTTAGCTCTTTGGACTTTTTGGTGGCCGCTTTCAGTAGCTTGGCCTCCTCTGGATCCTGTTCCTCTTCCTCGTCGCCGCGCAGGCGCTTCCGCAACATGAGTGAGAAGTAGTTCATCACCTTCTTTCGCCGCCCAAACTCCTGTTCAGCCTCCTCCGCGGACAGGGACTTGTAGCGCTGAATAGGCTGGAAGTTGTACCACTCATTCAGGGGATATGCCTCGATCGCTCCGTCCGGAGCATGTGTGAATACATAGAAGGCGGCATTTTCGCCAACGCCGCCTTCCCTGATGCCCTTGAACTTCTTGCCGGTCTTGCCCCCGACTTTCAGGATCCAAGGCTGCGCCTCCGGACGGTATTTGCGTGCAATAATGCCGAACTTCTTGCGACGCGCCTCCTCGCGCTGATCCCGGTTATACTCAGATCCGGCGCCGAATTTGGGTTGATCCTCGTCCATGCCTCGGAACTCCTTCATGTTGTTCTCCCGCTCCAGTTTCACATTACGCCACTGGGCGAAATCCACGTTCAGGGTGGCGTTAAACCGCATCACGTGGTGCTTCTTGCGCATCTTGGGTACCCGGATCTTGAACTCCTGCACGTTGGACGACGATGCCGAGGCTGATGCTGAAGCAGCGCCTGCAGAGGCAGCAGCTGCAGACGTGGAGCTTCCGCTGCCAGCGCTTGTCTGCGAATAGAAAACAAGTTAAATGAAGCGTTGGCGCCAAAACAGAGAGTTGGAACTTACCGCCGGCTTGGCTGCGGACGACATGGCACGTCTTTCTTTATTAATTAGCCTAATATCAAATTAAAATGCTTTTCTTAGCGTTATTTTAGGATATTTTCCAACTTAACCAGGAGTCGCGGGCACAAGAAAGTCTGGCGTGCTAGAGATGAGGGTTCCCCGATAATACGGCTGCATGTAGTTATCTAAAGCAAGCTAATTTGGTCACTCTGATCTTGTTATAATTTTAGTTTATCGCTAATCGCTCATCTCAAATCAAGAACGAGCAAATCGTTTAAATTGTTTATATTTCGCACAATTGTTCAATTTTTCTGAAAAATGTCGAAGAACTTGTCTTTAACAGACGAGCAGAGCCGGCTGAATGCACGCCTCGAGGCGCACATGGTGTACATATGTCCAGAGTGCGGCAAAGCCTTTCGCACACAGGCCGAGTGGCGTCAACATTTAAATACGGCAAGTTGCCCAATACCCCCCACAGTCGGCTCTTTTGATTGAATATTTGCATTTTATACAGAAACACGACTACCTGAAGAAAACCTACTCGGACTTTAACTTTATCCAAATCGACGAGCGCTTCCATGAGTGTCAGCTGTGCTTTAAATGGGTGGAGAACGCCCACAACACAATCGCCCTGCTGCAGTACCACTACTTCATGCATCTGGAGCACAGTGAGACATACCGCTGCGTGCATTGCCGCATGGCGTATACGAGGCGCAGGGCACTGAACGTCCACCTCATGGACACCCATATGCGAGAGATCGAGAAGTACGAGAACAAACTGCGCCAAATGAAGAGGCAACAGCAGCAGGATCAGAAACTTCCCGCAACCGCAAATTCTATAAATCCGGGAAACGTGGAGAAGCCCGTAGTGCCCAATAGGTTACCGCGTGGACGGCCAAAATTGAATGTCTCAGAAAAAAAGCGCAAAGATCTGCTGCAAAAGGCACTCATGGACATTGACCTATCAGGGGAAATGGAAAAGCCTACAACTCAATCCCCACCAGCTGCGACCAAGACACCAAACAGCACCAATGCCAGCGAACAGAACCTGGACAGGTGCCTAAATGCCTACGAGGACATTCTGCGCAAGGAGGAAGAAAAGGCGCCTAAATACGAGGCGGACTTGGATGCACTGTGTCAAGAGTTTTTCGAAGACAAAGACTATGCCACCAAAGATAAAGAAGATGTAAAAAAGGCAGAGGCAGCTGCACCGGGGGAAAAGGAGGAGAATCAGGAGGTGGTAATCATCGAGATCGACGCACTTGGCAAAGAGGAGGTGGCCCAGCTGAGGAAGGAAATGAACACATCGGGTACACAGGTACAGGCGGCCAAGCGACGTCGGCTGTCAACGACGCCTACACGGGATTCCGATGCGGAGGTGTCCACCAATGGTCTGACGAAGCTCATCTCGTATTTGTGCCCCAAGTGCGGCAAGGAGATCGCCTCAATGGACGAATGGCGGTCACACGTATTCAAAAAACATGACTTCGAGCATATCATTGAGAACAGTTTTAAGATCCTTGAGCCCGGCCGTAAGGCCATGTGCCTGCAGTGCCGAGAGGTGCAGCCAACCACCAGACGGTCGCAGTTGCAAAAGCACTGCTTCAAGCATCTGCCTTACCGCTCGTATCTTAAGTGCACGCTCTGCGATCGTACAAAGACCAGTACTTCGAAGATTTTCAACCACATTCGCTACAACCACCAAGAGGAGCTGCAGCGAAAGAACAAAACGCAACTGTTGATCAAATCGGAGCCCAAGTGGGTGAGTCCCAAAAGGCCATCGGTACGGTCAGATAAAGCCGGTTCCGGTGGCGAGGACGAGGAGGGGGAGGATGAGGGAGTTAGTATGATGTGTGAGCACTGCAATAAGTTATTCAAGACCAAATGGAGATACGGACGACATATCGCTGGGTGTCGGAGGGCAGGCATGCTTCAGCCCAGCAACTTCGTCGAGGGAAGCGTCGCATTCTTGCTGAACCACCTGCGCGAGGGATGTCAACGCATAAACCCCGTCTGGAAATCAATGCAGCTTAATAAAACGTAATACTTGGACTATTAAAGGTACAGAATAAATATTTATTACCACCATGAAAATGAACTAATAATAATTTATTTCCAATTTAAAGAATATGAAAATATCTTAAATTGTATTTAAAGTAGGGCATTATACATTAATATCTTTAAAAACATTGAATCTAAACATAATTCTACATTTCGATGCCTTATCATTTATTGTAATTGAAATATTACTCGTTAATGTTGTACTTTTCTTCTAGTTCATCTCATGAGTTGTAGACTTCCCGTAATACATCAACTATTCGATTGAGATATAGTGTTCCGTGTCCTATGTCTGCCTGGACGTCTCGCCCTCCTGTACATTTTTTCGGCGACGTTTTTATCCATTGCTCCAGGTTGTATCTCCTCGCGACTTGCTTCTGCCAACGCAGTATCTTCCACCTCGTGGTTGCTGGTTATCACCACGATCTTTCGCTGTTCATGATTTAACTCGGCCTTTTTCATCAATTTCAGGAATCGTGCAAATTTTTTCTGTAGTGGGGCTCCTCCTACCGTTGTTGTAGTTACTTCACCTTCGTCCGTTTTTTGGATTCCACTTCTCCTCTGATTTTTGGCATGGATAAAGGATTATTATGTGATGCTGTCACCTCACGGGTGGCCTGTGCTCTTTTTGGTGTTCCTGATCCTGGTGCTCCTACCGTACCTTCTTTTGCTCTTCCGTCTTCCTGGGCTACGGTCAAATAGATGGCCAATACCACAAAAATAATACCACTTAGGCACAACCTTTTCCAACTAGAAATCATGGCGTATTAAATGATTTCTTTCAAAAATTAAATAGCAAGCCTGTAATCCGTGAAATCGGAATATTTGTAATAGTATACACTTATTAAAATTGTTATTTTAAGCTAAAATCAAAGTTTTAAAAAACCCAGAACTAAGTCAAAAAGGCTTTCCTATGTTAGTTTTTATGAAATGAATAACTCTGTATACTAAATTGAAAGATTTAAACAGTCAACTTTCCTCCAGAGTATTCAGTTTTATCGGCAACTAACAGTTTATGTTACTTATTTTCAGTAAGTTAATTTTATTGTTTACAGTTTTTGTTTAGATACGAAACAAAGCGTGAAAAATTTGTTTTTACTGTATAAATAGTCGCTTTTCGCTCTTTGAGCTCTCGTTTCTGTTGGCGCAACTTAGATTTAAAAAGTTCTTCCAACGCCTGAACGCGCTCGCACATTTCCAGCTCAGCGATGATTTGCGGCCAATCGTCCACCGCGAATATGTCCATGAGGGCGTCCAGTCCTTCGGACAGGGCCCATAAATCGTCCTCGCGAGCACATGAGTTTAAAAGGAAGAGCACAATGGCCTTGACGAGTGACTCCGAGAGTAGGGAACCCAAGGTGCCAAGCATCCGGTTCCAGTTTACTCGAATGTCCATAACCGTGCATTTGCTGGCGCCCTCGATTATCATGTTTAGATCGTTCTCGGTCATCTGGCCAAAGAGATCCCGCCGTGACTTTAGCAAACTCAGTGAGGAGCGCATTAGCGACGTTATGGCCTCCATGACGGCCGCGTCCTCGGTTCCTTTGAAGGCTTGTTGGCCAAGATTCATCCACATGTTGTAGATTTCGTTATAGCCACCCAAATTCTCGGCAGTCAGCACATTGCAGAGATTCTGCAGACAAATGAGGTAGGACACCCGCATCTTTGCTAACTTCTCCCGAATGCCGTCTTGCTGATCGAGAAGCTTCTCTACAGAAGGATCTAAGGGCTGAGCTTTTTGCCACAGCTTCTGCACCACTTGGTTCTGTTTAATGGTTTCTAAGAAGTTAGCGGGCAATCCCCACTTCCACTGTCTGCTGCATCCTCCTCCATCTCGTAGTCAGCCACACTTTCCGTCTCCGATTGGTTGCTGTCCGAGCCCCATTCGCTTTGGTCGTCGCTGGAGCCTAGGTTTGTGATAATTTCCGCCACTAGACGCTGGGCGTCCAGCAAGTGCTCCAGGTTCTTCAGCGTCTCCTCCCCTTCGCTCTCATTCGATTTGGACGGATTGACACTCTGGGTCTCTGTGAGCTCCTCCGTTTCCATGGATATCTCCAGCACGGGAGCCTCGTTTTTAGACTTTGCAGTTTGAATCTCGGATTTACATCCCATCAGATGGGCCTGTGTATCGATGGTGAGCAATTGGTTGAGACTAGTCAGGATCTCTCGGGTGTGAGCCGCTGCGCAGGCGGGTACATTGCAAAGGATGCCAGCGGCCAAGGCGTTGAGGTAGAGCTGTCCATGGCTCTCAGCCGGAACATTAAGGAGCTCCGGCAGTATACTTGCGTTGGCCAAAAGGTTCCAGCAGCTAGAGTTGTTCTCGGACACCACTAGAACCAATTGCGCTACTGAGAGGGCAATATCTAAACCAAATTTCCTGTAATCCAGACACACGAGCAGCCTGGGCAGGAGATTTGCCTGGTTGAAGGCTTCCGTGGCCGTCGGCGAGCTCTCGCACAGATTACGGAGCAGATGTACTGCCTGAAGGAATATATCCGAAAGGATTTCGCTGTCGAAGCCATTTTTGGTCAGATCGTAGTCCAGCAAAAGTGACAGTAGTGCCGTTAATATGTCGTTGTCCACGAGAAAGTCACACACCTCCGAGCCGAACACGGAAAGATTCCGGAAGGCTCCGGCTGCCGCATCTCGGATGGCTGGCTCTTTATCGCACAGCAGGGGGGCCGCTATCCGAACCAGGTCGCTCTCGCAAATTTCCTGCACCTTCTCCTTGCGCAGCGCCAAAACCGCAAAGGAATGCAGTCCGTTCAACTTGTCCTCCACATCCGGCCGCTGTAGGTGCACGCAGATCGCCTCAATGGGTCCGCAGCCCGTCGCCTCCTCCTCTGTCGCATTGTCAAGTGCATTCTCCAGATCCACTGAGGTATCCACGCCGGAGGGCGTCCTTGTTTTTACTTTCCGTATTTTGCCCATTGCAACAAGCCGTCCTGCACGTGTTTACAAACCGCGGTGTGACCAGGCTCTCAATCTTTTTACAGTCTGGCAGCGCTGCCTTGGTTGCCATTTGTTACCATTCGATAACCCAAGACTTATCGAAAGCAAACTTGGTTTTATTTACATCTCTAGCGGCAGAAAATTGCAGAAAATCGGTGAAAATTTTCTAAATGCAAAGCGTTAAGTGAAAACTAGGTGAAATGGAAGCAAACATAGATGAAAGCATGGAGAGCGAACTTGCCAAGTCGCCCAATAACAAGCTGGAGGCGAATCAATCGCCTCCGCCAGGTGTGAATGGAAATGGAAGTGGCAGTGCCGATGGTGGCCAGGAGGCGGCCGCCCCTAACAATGGCGTTGCTATAGCCCAGGAAAAACCTAATGAGGCCCAATGGTGCGTAGTCAAGGAGTAGAGTTTGAACGAAAAACAGTGACATACCTTGACCTATTTTCAGGAGCAAACCCTTTAATGCATTCAGTGGGCGCCCCATTGGGGAGCACACGGCTCAGCAGCAGGCGCTCCAGCAGCAACAGCAGGCGCTTCAGCAGCAGCAAACAAGCCAGCAACAGCCGCCGCCTGGAGCGAATGGTGTTATCGCAGGACCTCCAGAAATCTGGGTGGAGACCAAAGCTGGGGATGACCGCTCCTACTACTACCATGCAGTGACAAGGGAAACCACATGGACGCGTCCCGAGGGCGCCAATGTCAAGATCATGACTCAGGCCGAGGTGGAGGAGATGGCAAAGCGACCTGCACAGGCCGCCAAGGCGGAGCCGAAAAGCACCGAACCCCCGGGAGAGGTCTCGGCAGTGTCCCATCTCACCTCGCAACCGCCGCCGCATTTGATGAGTCAGCCTCCGCCAAATGCCGCGGCACCTTTGCTCTCTCAGCCGCCGCCCAATGTGCGTCAACAACCGCCGCCCATGTTCCAGCCGCCGGGTATGCAGCCACCTCCTGGATTTGGACAGCCACCGTTTTGCATGCCGCCGCCAGCCTATGGGTTTCCAGGAGGAGCTGCTCCCGCCGGAGCTCCCTGGGGTGTAGGCATGCCGCCATGGCAGCAACAGCAACACCTGCACGGGCCTCCTGGCGGGCAGGATAAACCCGCCAAAACGCTGATCATTAAGCCTGGAGTCATCGACCCAGCGGTCATAGCTCGGGCTGCCGAGTGGTCAGAACACCGTGCCCCGGATGGCAGGCCTTACTATTTCCACGCCGGACGAGGTGAGAGCGTCTGGGATAAGCCACAAGCCCTGAGAGACATGGAGGCCGCTCGTATGGCCGCGCATTCAGGAGTGGCGCCTGCAGTGGCAACTGCCCCGACCGGACTGCCTCCCCACCTGCTGCCCAATCCGATGATGCACCTGCCCCCCGGCACAGCGCCACCAGGTTTTGATCCCCATGCTGCCTTTGCGGCAGCCGCCGCTGCAATGAAAGCAAATTCAGAGAATACTAAGGCGGCGCAGGCTGCCGCCCTAGAAAAGGAGGCCAAGAAGGCGGCTGAGGAGAAGCGAAAGAAGGAAGAGGAGCAGAAGAAGGCGGCGGCCACGGCAAAGCAGACGGACAAAAGTCGACCGGTGACAAGTACCCCAATCGCTGGCACACCTTGGTGTGTTGTGTGGACTGGAGATGCCCGTGTCTTTTTTATAATCCCTCGACCAGAACTTCGGTTTGGGATCGTCCCGAGGATCTTATGAACCGCGAGGATGTTGACAAGGCCGTGAACGAAAGGCCCGAGCAACTGAAGACGCCACAGGAGAAAACAGCCGAGGCAGAACAAAAAACAACCGAGGAGGTGGCACAGGACCAGACGCAGGCTCAAACACAAGCCCAACAGCAGCAGCAACAAGTGCAGCAAGTGGAGCCGGATGATGACGACGACGACGAAGTGATCAAGATACGCACCGAGTCGGAGTCCAGTGTGGAGGAGGTGCCCACCAAGCGAGTGCGAATGAGTAAGCTCTAAAATATAAAATCATTATATTTTCTCTAATATATTTCCTTCCATTAGTTTCAAAGTCAAAGCGAGCCGAGGATGCCGCACTGGAGGCGGAACAGCGGGCGGCTAAGGAGCGGGCCCTGGTTCCGTTGGAGATGCGTGTTACTCAGTTCAAGGAAATGCTTAGGGAGAAGGACGTTTCAGCATTCAGCACTTGGGAGAAGGAGCTACACAAGATCGTGTTCGATCCACGGTATCTACTGCTGACATCGAAGGAACGCAAACAGGTATTTGAAAAGTATGTCAAGGATCGAGCCGAAGAGGAGCGCAAGGAGAAGCGGAACAAGATGCGGCAAAAGCGTGAAGACTTCCGCAGCCTAATGGAAGAGGCCAGGCTGCACGGAAAGTAAGTGGTCTTTTCTAATTGTATTTATATAAAGTGGTTTTGTAATAATAATAATATTTCTTACAGATCTTCGTTCTCGGAGTTCAGCCAGAAGAACGCGAAGGACGAGCGATATCGCGCTATCGAGAAGGTACGCGAGCGGGAGAGCCTCTTCAACGAGTACATCGTGGAGGTGCGCCGGCGCGAAAAGGAGGACAAGTTGCTGAAGAAAGAGCAGGTAGGCCTAGGGCATGCTTACGCCCCAACCCCATTCTCCTTACGTATCTTGTTGTTTAAACATATATATGCATATATCTTTATAAACTGTATTTAATAACTTACCCGTATGCCAAACGTATTTACATAATGTGATTGATTTTCTGTTAACTTTTAAACCATAAACAACGTGTGAATCGATACTGAATCAAACCAAACTGAAAATGAAACCGATACCGATACCGAATCTGAATCCCCCTGATCGAACGTGTTGGGTTCCCGGTGGTTTGCCACCCCAATACTTTAGCCACTAGCTAACAGGTTACAGCACAAATGCACCACCCAACACACCAAAAAACACAACAGCAAGAGCATCGACAACCACGACCTATACAAGTACCTCATCGTCCTCAGCAACCCTCAGCCCGCCGACCGTCGTCTGTCATCGTCGTCATCCGTCGTCGTCCACTGATCTTGAATTGACCACGCACACGCTTGCAATCTGTGTGGTGAGTTACTTGAGTTACATACAAAAGCAACAAACTTTAAAATTTGTTTTTCTGCAATAAGAAACAAATTTGGAAAAAATAACAGTATCAATCAAAAAGCATTAAAAATATTAAACCAAATATCGAAAGGTTTTTACCTGATAATTGTTGGTGTGATTTCCACTTCCCGCCCCACGCCCCACGTCGCCCAAATCTCGGATGTGATGTGCGATGTGATGAAGAGAAAGAAGATGATGTGACGATGAGTGCATAATTGGCATTTGGAAGATCATGATTGATGATGTTTGATGGTCGCGTTTGGGCTCTCGGATGGATGCCAAGGAGGGGAGTCAGCTGGAGCCAGGCAGACAGAAGAGTGATTGGTCCAGTGATCCAGAGGGACAGCAATTCGTGTGCAGGTGTCTGCGGCGCTGAGCAAACAGTATGAATAATACTTAATTTTAATTAACCCACTATTATCGTTTTGTTTCCAAATAATAAAAAGAACACATGGCAGTTTTACCTGTCACCTGACAGAGGCAAGCCCAAGGAACCAAACCCGGCCCATATGTCGGGCCTGCACAGACCAAAGAGTTGTGAGGATACCCATTATCCCAAGAAACCTCACAATCTTTGCTCTCGCAGGCCCAGCAGGCAGCGGCTTAAAGTCGCTGAAAGATTCTCTCTTAATAAATTTATGTACCATATCTTTACTTTAGCTCTACTGAATATTGTACTGTATTCTTCGGCCTGGCCCGAAGTTTATATAAACCCCAAGGTCTGCTACTAATCAATGGAGAGAGTTGTGGAGATGGGTAATGTGTCCGCTTGTAGTGATTGAGTACTCCACTTCCCTTCAGTTAGCGCTTATTTATAGCACCAGTATTTATTTATTTAGTAAAGCTAATGTTTTTTACTTGCATAACTCTCTCACACTTATATTTCATTATTTACTTTGCCATAAACGATTGCCTTGTCCCTGTGGTTCCGATTTCAGTCTGTGTTCGCCCCTGCACGCCCACTCCTCTCTCAACTAGCAGGTCCTGTGCTAATCTAATGTTCTGTTTCAGTTACGTATCTGACCGCTAATCGTTCTCTTCCAGGAACTCAAACACCGTGTAACTATGTTCTTAGTAGTCTTTAAACACGTAGCTCTAAGCCTTAAGTTCGACATTTAAGTTATAGAATGTTAAGTGAAGGACGCATCAATGCCAGATTTCTAATTCAATCTCTTTATGACATTTCTCTTCTCTTCCGCATGGCTGTCATGTCAATATATTCCTTTCACACACAAAATCACACACTGTAGATCCGCAAGGACTTTCTGGACATGCTGCGCGAACGACACGACATTGAGCGCCATACCAGGTGGTATGACATCAAGAAGAAGTTTGAGTCGGACTCTCGATACCGAGTTGTGGATTCCCTATACCGGGAGGAGTATTTCGAGGACTATCTGCACATCATGAAGGAGGAGAAGCGGAAGGAGCGGGAGATGCGGGAGCAAAGGGAACGGGAAAGGCACCGCGAACGGAAGTCCGATCGAAGGGATAAGGACAAGGATAAGGATAAGGACAAAGACAAGGAAAGGGAGAAGGACAAAGGTCGCAAGGACCGCGGTCGCAGTCGTTCAAAGGACAAGGATCGTGAGCGTAAATCATCCAAGGAGAAGGACAAAGAGGATAAGGTGAAGCCGGAGAAGAATAAGAAGCGGGATTCCTTGGTAAGACACGATTTCAAAATAATTAAGATCGATGTTTAAATATTTATTTTTTGTCTGCAGGAGGAGGGCGAGCACGGCGAGGACTCCGATCGGGAAGAGCGAGCGGGCAGCGAAGACAGCGAGATAGCTCGGCAACGGGAGGACGAGGCTGAGCAGAAGCAGAAGGAGCGGGAGAAGAAGCTGAGGGCCGAGCAGAGTATTAGGGAGCGTGAAAAGGAGGTCCAGCGCACTCTAGCCGGGCATCTAAGGGATCGGGATAAGGAGCGTGAGCACCACATGCGTGAGGAGTGCATTGGTCACTTCACGGCACTGCTGACGGATCTGGTACGGACTCCGGACTTCACTTGGAAGGAGGTGAAGCGGCAGCTCCGCAAAGATCATCGTTGGGAGTTGATCGAAACACTCGATAGGGACGATCGCGAGCGGTAAGGATAAGCCGTAAAATATTTAATATTGCCTATAATTAAACCATGCATAAATTTAGGAAATTCAATGAGCACATTGACAATCTGATGAAAAAGAAGCGCGAACGGTTCCGTGAAATGCTTGACGAGATTAGCACCCTTCAGCTGACCAGCACCTGGAAGGAGATCAAAAAGCTAATCAAGGAGGATCCGCGATATCTCAAATACAATTCTGACAAGGGCGAACGTGAATTCCGCGATTACATCAAGGATAAGACGATGACAGCGAAGACATCGCTTCGAGAGCTATTGCAAGAATGCAAATTCATAAACCACAAGAGCAGCGATCTCATCAAAGAAAACCCCAACCATCTTAAGGAGATTCAGGACATACTCAAAAACGACAAGCGGTGAGCAAATAACTCTTTAAATAATTATAAAATTTAGTTAAAAATATACATAAAATATAGCTACTTGGTTCTGGATCATATGGAGGAGGAGAGAAGCACCATTGTGCTAGGCTTTTTAGAGGAACTCAATAAGCGCGGCCCGCCGCCACCACCCACAGCTTCTGAGTCAACGCGCCGCAACAAGTAGTTGCTGGCTGCTAATAACACTATTCAATTTAATCGTAACAATTAAATTAATACTTTTTAAGCAGAAGTTTTGAAGCTTCTAATATTTTAAATGAATAAACCACATACAGTAATACAATTCAATCGTCTAGTTTTCGTTCATAAATATTTATTGATCATTATATGTTATGTTAGAGTTGCGTCTTTCATATATATATATATATATTTATATATATATATCTTGTTTTGTGTTTTCGTTTTTGCAATTTCATAGTTCTATTTCTAGATATACTTATTTCTCCATTCATCATCGGTTTGCTACCTCGCTACCGTTATTGTTTAATACACATTCTTTCTGCACTTTAGCCGAGTTTCCTATTGACTAAAAATAAATACAAGTACCATAATCTCGTTTTTAATGCCAGCCAATATTTGGCTTATCTGCTCTTACTGATCGAGTAAGTTCAGATTTGTATGCAAATGTTTTAGGAACTAATATCGAAAATAATGCCCTCAGTGTAGTGTTTTAAACAAATCTTTTTCCTCTCGTTTGTATAAAGTTTATCCGTCATATGATTTTATGTGTTTAAATAAGGGATTGATGTATATCGCGATGAAGTTATTTAAAATAAATAAGAGAAATGTTTTAATTTGATTTGACATTTCAAGCCGAATATTGCCTTTAACATATAGATTTATTGGATTTCGCGTCATATACAGTATCAATATTTTCTGTTATCCCTGGCTTAAACAACAAAGTTAACTGAGAGGCTCAACTAATCTACTTCTTGAATGAGGGCCAGGTATACCATCATCTTGCGAGCTTTCTCTGCTTTGTTTATTATTACAAATTTAAGCCGTTCAAAAAATAAAAATTATAGTTTTCATGCTGATTTATTTAAAAATTAAATTAAGAAGACAAACCTTTTGAAAAATCAATATTTTAGGACAACAAATAAATGAAAAATAAGCTTCCAAGAAAAGAACAAATTGAGCGGGACCAAATTTTTTAATAATTAAAAAGAAATGCTGTAATCCTAAATATACTCTCACCCATTCATACTCCCTTTCTTTTTTAGCTGGTGTTTTAGTTTACTGCTCCTGCCTCCTCTCTATATATGCTACAATTTCGATTCACTATTTTACGCTACGACTTCTAGTTAGTATTAGTATAATATTTACTTGCTGTTGCTCTTATTGATTTCCATTTTCGGTTTCGGTTAGGCACAAAGTAACTGGTTTTATATTTATCTTTCCCTTTTCTCATGGTTCACTTTCGAATTTTACACGCTATTATTTATTTTCTAGTTATTTTTAGTGGCTTCTACCAACCAATTCATTGAACAGTGTAGAGTGGATCTGTTATGATCCACTTACAATTATCATATTTTAATTAATTGCTACAGTTTTGTTCTTGTTGTTCCATTGCATTGTTGTTGTAATTTGAAAAATACAAGTGTGTGTCTTCTATTTATGTGTCTAAATAGTAAATTCTATTACAGATAAATGTTTATTTGTTTTTGATTTACATCCTACATACACAGACATACAAAATAGTGAGAAAAGGGGCGGGTGTTGTGGAACTTGTGTTGTGTTGTTGGAGTAAAGGAGTGGTGGTTAAGTGCAAATAGTGGGCTTCATCATTCGAATAGAATTCAGAAGCAGCAGCAGCAGCAATAGACATAGCAACGAAAAAGTAGCCGCAAAAATGAAACGAAAAAATGTAAAATCATATAAAAAATATAGTACTTTTATTACATAAAGCAGTTTATAAAAGCTAAATGAAACTTTTACTAAAATCAGCGATAATACTCCAAGTCATATTAGGTTAGTAACAGCAAAGTTTCTCGTGTGTTCATCCTCTCTCTCATAGATAATTCGTACATTCTTTAAGCTTTCTTATAGAAATTTAATGGGGAAAAAATGAAATTAAACGTGCTTTATACAATGTAAAAATATGTAAGTATATTTCCCTTCATTTTGTTTAAATGCAAAAGTTACCAATTGTAATGTATATGTATAAATCTTGACAACTATAATGTACGTGTTTTGTTATGTTCTCTTCTTTGAATGATCGATCTCTCTTTAAGCTTACAATTTGGATAAGCATTCAAAATGCTTGATACAAATTATGGGTCTATACAAGTACAAATACAAATTTAAATTTATGTTTTGGTATAACAAATGTTGGAAACATAATTTTTCGATGGTGTGATCTCTTTTTTCTTGCAGGGTTTGTATAAAAATCAGATAACCGAATTTTGTAAATTGAACTACGCGTGTCTCTCGGTTGCTGTATGCAGTTTCTCTTTTGTTTTTGTTAGAATATATATAATATAATATGTGTGTGTGTATATAATACGTTTATATAAATAATTAATAATAGTAATCATAATCATTAATTCATCATCTGTTCAATATGCATAAATGTTATTGTAGCTATTGTGGTTGTTGTTGTTGCTGTTTTTCTTGTTGTTTTCTGCAGTAATAATTCATTAGTAATGGTTAAATAAGCGGCTTCTTCTTGGTTGTCAATCAGTTGCCCTTGGTGGCCTCCTTGGCGGCCATAATCAAAGGCGTCAGACTGGCCAATGGACGGGCCAGTTTCAGGAACGGATGCTGTAATGTATAGATTATTAGTAAGGAATATGGAGCGTATATGAACAGATTTAATCAGAATTTCATGATCTGTTTCATATCCATTATATTTCTGAAATGATAGTAAGTTCGAGTGAGGGGCCCACCTTCAGCAAGTCCATTGCACTGGCTCGTCGCTCGACCTCCACCTCCAAACACTGGTCGAGGAAGTCCTGAAACGCTGCGGACAGCTTGTCTTTTTCTTTAATCTCGGGCTTGCCATTGGTGGCAATGAGGTACAAGGCTTTAAGCGGATTCTCGTTCAAATACGGCGGCTCACCCTCGACCATCTCTATGGCCATAATGCCCAGGGACCACAAGTCCACCTGTAGGAAGACGACGGGGTCAGTTGCTAAGGTTTACACATTTGTAAGAGAGTCAAAAGTCTTACCTTGGGTCCGTACTGCTTCCGGGTGACCACCTCGGGCGCCATCCAGTATGGTGTGCCTACCATCGTTGTGCGTTTGGATTGCTCTGGCGAGATCTGCGCACAGAAACCGAAATCAGTCAGCTTGACGGAGCCGTCAAGGCCCAGCAGAATGTTGTCACTCTTGATGTCTCGATGAATGACCTGGTTGGCATGGAGGAACTCCAAGGCTTGAAGCACCTCGCGGCATACGGCCGCTATCTGGCCCTCATCCATACAGGTCTCCGTAACGACGTCCGTGAGTGAGCCGCCAGGTAGGTACTCCATGACCACCCATAGCTCTTCGGACACCAGATAACTGTCCAGGTAGTTGACAACATTCGGGTGCTTGTTCTCCCGCATCACAAGGATCTCATTAATGATCAGCTCCTTTTTAGGCTGCTGCGATAGATTCATTTGCTTGATGGCCACCTCCATGCCCGTCGACGATTCAATCGCGGTGTAAACAGTGCCTGAGGCGCCCTGACCTATCTTCTCCATCTTGGTGTACTTGCGATTCGGATCGCCCACGGAGACAATGGTGCGCAGCTTCTCCAGGATCTCTTCGTCGGACATCTTCTTCTTCTTGGCATTGGCCGCTCGGGTATTTGGCGTGACTGCCGCCGCCGACGCTGCCTGTGGCACGGCGATCTGATTGCCAGCCGCCGGTGGAGGAACAGCTGCCGCCGTCGTGTCTGGCGTATACAGATCTGATGATCCAGTGGTCGCGGGTGTGGGTGTGGCGGGCGTTATAATTGGCGGCAGGGGAACCGCAACCGGAAGCGGAACGGTCGAGTTACGGGCGGAAGACGTGGGCGTCGGCGTTGGACAGTGGATCGAAGGCAGGCCGTGTGGCAGGTGCGTGGCATCGTCGTCGTGGAACGATGGAAATGATGAAAAGGAGGAAGCAGAGGAATGGTGATTAGTCGTTGTTGCTGTGGGGGCTGCTGTAGCTGTTTCTGCTGTTGCAGTGGTGGCTGTTGCTGCCTCGACGAGGCTACCACGCGGCGCTGCTGGAGCAGGAGCAGTAGCAGGAGCAATGGTAGTAGAAGTAGTAGTAGTGGTAGTACAACTAGGGTTAGTAGCAGACAAGAGAGAAGCAGCAGCAGTTGTTGTTGCTGCTTCCGTTGCTGTCGTTGTTGTTGTTGATGTTGCATCGGTGCCTTCTGTTTCTGCTGTTGTTGTGGTTGTTGGGGATGTTGGAGCTGGCGTCGTTGCAGTTGTTTTTTTATTTTTTTTTTTTTTTTTTTTTATATAGCAGCAATTAGAAGCAGAACAAAACAGAACAGAACACAGAGAGGCGATACAAATACCAAAATACACATACATTAAATATTTAATTAGCATTATCGACCACAAAAAGTTAATTAGTTACAGAATAATGGCAACAACAAATATAAGTTTTCAACGGCACATCACAGCCCTCCCCCCTACTAAGCCCTGGCAGGAGCTTGGCTTGTATTTAATTAATTAATTGGCAGCCTTCATATACACCATTCTTATAGACCTTCATAGTGTTCTAAATAAAACATTGATGGTTAATCATGGTTAACTACTGTTGTATATCAAGAGGAAAAGATATGATTTAAAGAAAATAATATATTCTCTATATACATACATCCCTAGAAAGTCCTCAACAATCCCTTATTTCCTCTCTAAGTTTAATTAGTTTGCCAACGCTTTAGTAGGGCTGATAAAACTAAATTAGAATACATATATCCTAAAGAGGAACTCACTTGCGTTGTTCTTGTTCTTGTCCAGCGTCGTTGTCACATTGTTGTGCATCAACGGCGACGCAGTCGGCGCTGCCATTCCACCCGGCGCTCGATGATTCTGCAGCGGCGTTGTGGGCGTGGTCGCAGGAGCCGCTGGCATGGGCATGCTAATGGCTGGCGGCACCGGCTGCAGCTCCTCGATGGGCCTTGTATAGATGGATTTCGTACGTTCAGGCCTGGAGGCCACCGGCGGAGGTGGCGGCTGCTGCTGTTGTAATTGCTGAGGATGATGCGGATGCTGCGGTCCTAGCATGTCGTCCTCATTGGCGGATGAATGTTGCGATGTGGATGAGGAGGCCGTGTGGCCGCCAAAGTTGTACGAGTGCGACTGACTGATGCCAATGTGATGCTGGTTGTGGTGCTGGTGCAACTGTTGCTGCTGCTGGAGAAGATGCTGCTGCTGTTGTTGCTGTTGGTAGTGGTTTCCCAGGATTTGTCCAGCGACAGCAACATTATTGGCATTGGGGCCTAGGGTCATGCTGCCCAGTTGCACGCCAATAAGGTTGCCACCACTGTTAGAACCATGAAGTTCCGAGTCTGTGGGCGTGCTGCTGGGACTGCTGCTGCTGACTCGGCTAAGCGATGAACCTGCCAAAAGAAATCACAGTTTTTAATAAACTTATCTGGTTTATCAATATGCCAATTTACCAACCTGAATGCGTCGTAATGGCATTTGTCATGTACTTGGAACTTGGCCTCTGTTTGGTTGTATTATCGAACCACTTGAGAACATCGAGCACGGCCTGGGGATTCTTCTTTTGCTCCTGCTTGCTAATGTTCGAGTTCATCAGCAGACGCGCCCACGCCTCTGGCATTCCCTGGAAAAAGGATAACAGATCAATTAGACACATGGTCGTTTCGGGAGCAAGCAAAGGGTCCTGAAGCACAGGTATATATATGAGAGCACATTGCGACAGGATTCAACTTTTGGACACATCAATGTTCGGACAATGATTCCAATGGGGCTTTTTGGGGATATATGAAAAGCCAGCGACTAAAAGCATTTCATCTACAAATTCTAGGCTCAGCCATCTTGCAAAGTAAGTGTGTGTGTGGTGTGTTCGGTGTAATGTGTGTGGACTAGTGTAGGAAGAATATAGTGAGATAACAACACATGGAAGGAACACGATCGTAACGAACCAAATGTAAACTATGAGTAATACCGATCGAACTTGAAACAAACACCGAATCGACTAATGGACAGACAAAGGAACACAATGGAGACTTAATACTTTTTGAGTAAATAATGAAGGCAAGTTCCGTGGCGTTAGTCGTGGAGTTTACTTACTTTCATTGGCAGCTTGAAATAATAATGGATAATAGAAAATCGGTATAGAGCACATATGTATGTATCGCGAGAGAGAGATAGAGAGACAACAGATTGTATGTACAGATATGTATATGTTCAAAGAGTACTTTATATATGTAACTTGAAAGCGTCGAAAAGAAAGCACATATAACACGAAAATCTTTGGATGACCCGAGGTGCACTTCAGTTAGAAGTTACAAACATTAAAATATATTTGTATATAATTTTAAGTTCTTTAAATATATTTTGTTACTAGTATAAATACGATCTTCAATTCTTTACAGAAAATTTTTACTAATTATCCCCCAAATCTCAGCCTATCCAAAGATTATAGGTTTTTTGTTAAACTAAACTTAAAACCGTTTGCAAATCACGATCATTTCGGCATAATTATATTATTTAAAAAGCTTATCAAATGGAGGACATAAAAGCATTGAGAACCAAAGATGCCCGACTTGCTATTCTTAGACGGCAAGCCATAAACATAATGGCGAGGCAAACACGGGCACAAGGTATCCGGAACTAAACATAATGACAAACTCACCGTAAACTCGCCGGTCACGGCATCAAAGCCCACATGGACCGTGTGCTCGAAGTTCGTGGGATATGAGATGTTCGGCTTGGAGTCCGTGTGCGAAGGCTTGGAGCCCTTAATCTTGCTCTTAAGCGTCTTTTTTTTGCGGTCGGCATCGTCGGGTTCTATGGGGAAAAAGGGAAAGCAACACATAGTTGAACGGACCAACGGTGTCCACATGATGCGAACAACTGCTCGAATCGTACTCACCCTTGGGCAGCGGACGCATGTCGGGCGGAACATCGCCGCTGCCGCCGCCTCCGCCGACACCTCCTCCCGCGGATCGCTCGATACCACCTCGGTTGCTGGTGAGGCGCACGGGCGGCGCCGGCGGTTTGTCTTCCTCGCTGGACATGCCGTTTTGTTCTGCCTCTTCGTCTCCACCTGCCGCTTCGTCTTCCTCTTCTGTTTGTCTCCTGCTTCCTCCGCCGCCTCTACGTCTAGCGCCTTTTAATGCACAGCTGTTCTAGGGCCAGAAACCAGCTGTTAAGATACAGAGAAAGCGAGTCGGAGAGAATGTATCGTTAGTTCAAAAACTATACAAGAGATAAGATGGTTCTTATCTTAATACCGAAAACAAATCTGTCGAATGCGGAATGGAATGTTAAAAAGTCATTAATCTTTTGTTTTTTTTTGGTTCATTATCGCTTAAAATTCGACTTGAGACCAAGGGATTACATATATTCCGAAGAAATCATTAAATAACATTGTATTTTGTGAAAACACTCACTTTAAGTTCTAAATTAAAGCTTCTATAAAGCAAATCACCTTCAATATCAAACATTATGTATTACGATATTATTATGATGAAGATGACATTGTATCCTGTGTGGTCTTATCAAATTCACGTAATTAAACCTAAGACGGGAATTCTACTCAAGTGATTCAATGCTCTGAGCATTTCCCAGAGTTCCATTCTACTCTTATCTATTGCTAAAAAAGTATAACTCAGCTTATCTTATTATATATGTATATTTTTCGTTTTTTATTCGTCGCCCTGTTGCAATCGCGTCATAAGGTTCTGCAAAATTAAACATTTGTCATACAAGCGACAAGGAAAATATTGTTTGTATGTATTTATTTCCCGAATATACATTGAGATCGTCGTGTATTTCACAGAATTCTGCACAAAATTATACAACTTTGCCACTTTAATATTTTATTCTTTGCTTTCTTCTTGAAGATCACGTCAAAATTGTGTGCTCTCGAATTTTTGGCATGCGAAAAGCACTTTGTTTTGCTTTTTTAAAATGGTTAAGACACCCACTCACTCTCGGGGACTCTTGCAGAAGAGCAGAAATACGGCGAGAGTTATAAAATTTTCAATATCGGCTGTCCGGCGAACTGAATCGGACTGTGGGCACTGCCTGCGCTCAGTGCTCAGTGCTTTCCATCGGTCCGTCGCCGTCTCTCCCGCTCATCAGTCAGTGAGTGTCACTGCCACTAGAGCAGCCGGCAAAAGGCCCCTCCTAGACGACAACAACTATTAACGCCTATCGCCCATGGGAGAGCGGAGAATCGTAATCTGCTCTCTGCGACTGTCTGTCTGTCTGGGAAGAATGGAGACGAAGTCCCGCACAGTGCTTGGACCTGACTAAAAGCATTCTCTTTCAGTAAAATTGTGTTTGTAGAAATGTTATTATTTAATATAAACTATTTCCAACTTGTTCTAGTTTAAGCAATGAATAATAAGAAGATACCAATAACAAAGATAGCCTAAATTCAAAAACTCTTATTGTATCTTGCCTATAAGACTAATAAGAATATTGTTATATTTCGGTTTGATGCTATTGTAATATAATAGAAGTTATTCTACCGAGGCTCCACTGTACAATGTCCAACCAATTTTAACGGTACACACGGTGTGCTATCTCCCACTCCCGTCCTCTCTGGCCCACGCCTGCGATCGGGGGTCGTAAAAAAAAGATGCGATAACAAGAGTGGCTTCGATTAGCTCACGAAACAAAAACAAAACATCTCACGCATTTGGAATTACAGCAACACGAAAGAGGAAATTAAACGCTGGCGACAACAACAAAACTACACGAGTGTGTGTGGGCGGCAACGCAGCCAAACATATGACCAACCTGAGAGAGAGATGTGACGGGGAGAGCGAGAGAAAGAACAGGGCGACGTTGGCGCCTGTCTGCTTTTGCCGGCTGACGACGACTGCGCTGCTTTTATGATTCATTTATCAACGTCAAAGCGTTAAGAGTCAATGCAACTAACGGGAGACGCAAGGAGGCAAATGAAGGGTGTGCAGCATAGTGTGAAAATTCTGGGCAAACAGCAACAATCAGTACCTACAGTGGTGGTCAAATTAATAATTATTAATACAAACAAAATAAAGCATAGGACCTTTTTTAAATTCTTTAAGCAGACTTGAATGTCTATTAAAATGCAAGGCTATGAAAGGAAAATAGACAACAGCATTCTTATCTGTCAGAAAATGGAAACCCTGAAATATATCTGAAATTCCCAGTACTATTATCTTGACCAGATCTGTGTATCTGCGCTATTTGTAGGTTTGTTGGCTGCTTGCCGAAAGATCTATACATAGGTAATTTTTCGTTTTTAGATCAAGAGGCAACAACAAACTTTTCGGGAGCGTGTGGGCGCCCAGAATTGGGTTAACGGTGTACCGAATTGGGCTGCTTTTGTTTGTTTTTCCTGCTGTTGCCAGTCGAACTTCAGGTAAAATCAATAAAATATATATTTTTTCATACTGCAGAGCCTAATGCAGAATTATTCCCTAATGAGCAAGGCACACTACACACAGACAACCACTCGCACAGGAAGCTCGACAACACTTGCGGCATTTAAATTAGTGACAGTGGCGGAAGGGGGGACGGTGGACGCTAGGAGGAGGACTCTCGAGTGGTGCAGGCATAGAGGTGCATGTTGCAACAACGGCGGCACAAACAACTACAAACATGGCGTGTTGCAAGTGCATTGAGTGGCGCTGCTGGCTCCAAGTGCTGAAAGAAGCCACAAGCATATGCAGACGACTTCTTTGCCACGTTTATGCGGAGCAGGGAAATACAATATTATTATCTTGTATTATTTACAAGAATTGAAGCTCATAGTTTTCAGAAGTTCTATAAAAAGTACTTAAGAGCTTTGGGCATAAGAAGATAAGGAGTTCTTAAACTTGAATATTTTGTGTATCATACTTGCTCTAAGGGAATGAATTGAATGTTTGCCTATAAGTGTTATTATCCGCGCGATCTTCTCGATATCCCACGCATACCCGGTGGATGGCTGGCTAGCCAGCTACCTCTCTACGGCGCTGCGACGTTGTCTATTTTGGTTTTGGACGCCAGCCGAAAGCAGCAGGCGGAAATGCTATGCCTTTTATATATTTTTCTTTGCAGTTCCCTTCTTTAGCCACTTCCTCACGCCGCGCCACCCCGTTCTCCCTGGCTCCGTTGTTACCTGTGACCGTGCTAAACAAATATGTTTTTCCATAAGGAAAATGGAATGGGGGTGAATGGGGAAGGGGGAATGGGGACAAATGGACATGTGCCGTTAGGGGCTAACTGTTAAATGCCAAATCGACTGCGAAATGTTGTTAGTGCTTTATGTAAATGTCTTGTGTCTTGTTTTGTCACGTTTGCTTCCTTTTTTTTGCCGCAATGCACGTGTGTGGGTTAACGGGGGGAGTGGCGGTGGTGGGGTCGAAGCACATGGATCACCCTGTAGGGACAGCAGCTTGTTGACATTTTACTCCAACATTATTTTTATACTGGAGAAACGGGAACAGCAATGTGTTAATCCCAAATAATGTGGCAGGGAGGCGGAAACCACTTGAATAGTTTCTTAATCCAGCGAAAACATACGCACACAAGCACAAACATATTAATATGTGGGGAAAAATCAATGTGTGCAACCTCCTGAGCCTGTAGCTATGTGCTTTATGTTTGTGTTGAAAGCCAGACCAATTGAACTAACGGTGCACTCTCTTTTTATGAATGAAACTCCCTCCTCCTTCTCCACTCATCCCTCCTTCTTCCACCTTATACTTTAACTCACTGCAGGTACACATGTATGTCTTGGTTGCTTTTGCTTGCTCGGATCACCCTGTTCGGCGTTTGCACTCGACGAAACGTTTAGAATTTATTGATGGGCCCCCACTTTTCCGTTGGCTTCTTGGAGTTTTCCGAGCCCACAACACTTCAGTGCACACTCGCACAAACACACACGCACGCACAACACACAGTCGGTATTATTTTCCCGTTTTCTCTCTTGTGTGCACTAATGGCCGACAGCAGGAAAAGCCAACCATACAGTTCGAAAACGGCGACGAGTCTCGATTTTGGCTTGAATTTGGCAACACGCGCACATTTCGCCCACTTGTTAAACAATTAAACTAGCTTACATTTTCCACGATCTCGTTAAATATAGTATGAAAAATAATTACAGAAAGTGTAGGGTTGTTGAAAATATATCAAAATATCAATATATCGATATTTTTTCTCAAAATGATATATTTATATCGTGATATTTTGTTTGCTCAAATATCGATGTTGCGATATTTTTTTTATAATACTTTTATGGTCACTGAATTCCGAGGGTCTTACGAGCACTAAATTAGTGTAAATTATACCTTTGTATAGTAATACCTTATGTTATATCAATAATATTTAATTTGTGATAAGAATCTTTTTTATAATTTTATTGTTGGAAAAAAATATTAAAAAGAATATCAAAAATATCTATAATATATAATGATATTTGAAAGTGGTATTTTAAATATTATTTCTAATTCTGATACAAAAAATATCATCGATACGATATTTTCTAGAATATCCGACAATACTAGTAACGATGGCAAAGGTATCCAGCAATACATCGAATATTTTTGCATAAAAATAAATATTTATATCGTGATATTTTTTCTGCTGATGTATTGAATATTTCTATTATTAAAATTCATATATTTTCTTATATGTTAATTATTGATTATGTTAGTTATTAATTATATATCAAAAGAATGTGAAGACTGGGGTTTTTACATTTTTTACAGTTTTATTTTAAATTTCACTAATAATTATCGAGGGCTTTTTACCAGCAGTGTTATACCAGGACTTTGAAAATCTAAGAAAATTGAAAATTCAAATATTGAAATATTCAAAAAGCAAGCAAAAATAAGAAATATTTAAATTATAAACATTTCGATCGTATGCGTTTCAATAAGTATATACAATTTCTTATTAGATATAATGAATATTTAATATCTTACATATTTTTTGATACCGGTCTGGCAGCGCCAAAGTATCGTTTTAAGTGTGACCGAGGTCCAGAGGTGAAAAAATCTTCTATTTTTCTGGAAAATTTGTATCGTTTTGCAGTTAGTTCAAGCAAAATATTGAAGCCCAAACATTTTAGAAAAATAACTAATTCATATCAAAACGTCGTAAATTTAACAGAAAATAGTGCAGGAAATCGTTGTAATGGCCAACGTTGAATCTATGATTGTGGAGGAAAAGCCGCAAGTTAAGCAGATTGACCGCGAGAAGGTTTGTTTTGAGGAAACCGGCGTGGATGGATGAACCGTGTTTTCCATGTTTGAAGCGGTTATTTACCCTGGTTTCCAATTTTTGCAGACCTGCCCGCTACTGCTACGCGTATTTTGTTCAACTGGACGCCACCACTCCGTCTCGGAGTACGCGTTCGGCAATGTGCCCAGCAACGAGCTCCAGATCTACACCTGGCAGGACGCCACCCTGCACGAGCTGACTTCGCTGGTGCGTGACGTGAATCCGGATACGCGCAAGAAGGGCACCTACTTTGATTTCGCCGTGGTCTATCCGAATTTCCGCAACGGACACTTCCAGATGCGCGAAATTGGGGTTACCTGCACCGGACAGAAGGGCATCGACGACAACAAGACACTGGCCCAGGCCAAGTTCTGCATCGGTGACTTTCTGGACATCTCGATCACACCACCCAACCGGCTGCCACCCACCGCCAGACGCCAGCGCCCCTACTGATGATAATGGGTGCGCCGCGGATCTCTACAAACTAATAATCCTTTTTTATTCTTTCACTTGACACAATGAAGTATGGACATAATTATAAGTGGAATACAAATTAGAAGACGACCTACGTATACGAGCTGCTTGACTTAAGGGACTATACTGCGAGCTGGTGGCTATCAGTTCCGGTAGATGCTGTTTGGACGCTTCGACTTCTTCTTGCCCAGCTGCGTCATATCTATCTCCAGGCCGTTGGGCAGTACGGCGCGGTTTTCCTCGTAGTTAATGAAGCCATTCTCCTGCAGCTCCTCCTCGTTCTCGCGGGCATTAGGATCGCACTTGATGCCCGTCTCGTAGTGATATTCGCGTTTATTGCCATCGGGATCGACGTAGCCATAGGTGCCCCTAGGTGTGGAGAGCGTGTTTATAGAGTTATCTTTGTCTTCTTTAAGCTGTACTCACTTGGTGATGCAGTCGGTTCCGATTAACTCCTCTTTGAAAGATCCATCATCGTTCTCGTAGCCCCAAGTGATGCTTCCATCCTCGTTCTCTTCGCGCCACTTCCGGATGGTCTGGGCCACAGGTCGCTGTCGCCTCTGCTGCTGCTCGCCGCGCTCGTCTTGCAGTTGATTCTGGTCAATGATGGGACGCGGTTGGACGGGCTTCGGACGAGGTCTAGCCACTGGCTGAGGTGCTGGTGGCTCAGGACGGAAGGCGGCAGGTGCCGCTGGTCTCGTCCGGATCACAGCTACCCTCTGGGGCTGAGGCGGCGGCGGAGGTGGTGGAGGAGCAGCTGCTGTGGGCGTGGGTCGCTCCAGACCAAATCTCTGGGAGTTCTCGAACCGTCCGATGCCGAAGTCATTGAAGGCGACAGGTCTGTTCAAAGGCGTTGGAATGGAGGGGCGTTCAGCGGGGAAGCGAGGAGGAGCGGGTAAAATGGCCGCAGGCTGAGAGTCCTCGTTCTGGAGGAACTGTTGCACCGGTGACGGCTGCTCGACGGGTTGCTGTCCGGCAAGGAAAGCGGCGGCTGCCTGCTGGAACTGCGATTGCTGGGCCTGGGCCAGCTGCTGTTCCCTTAGCAGATTCGGCAGATACGGCTCCGGTTGCTCATCCTCCGCAGCCTCAGTAACAGGGCGCTCCTCAATAGCTATGCGTTGCGTAACCGCTGGAAGGATGGCGTTCTGTTGGCGCAGCGACGGTCCTGGGCGACGAACCCTCAGCACTGGCTGGCGATGGGGCAGTTGGCCAGGTGATTGTACCGCTCCGGGGATGGTTAGGCGCTGTGGGTAGTTCTGGGCCTCTGCTAAAGCGAGTGCGCTGCACACAAGCTGCGAGAGAATTGAAGTCATTTATTAGTGGAGGCCATAAAAGGATCGAGATTGTGCCAATTGCCGGAACAAGGCGTTACAACCTGCCGCCTTTGGCCAGAGCATGCCGCACGTGGCCAAGTTGATCCAAGCTTTTGGCTCAGCCCCTTTTTAAGCATTTGTATTTGGCAAGTTTTTTAGTTTGTCGGACGAACGACAACGGTTTCTTAGAATTCTCTTTCACAGTTTTTTTTACAATTAAGGGGGCGGATAAACCCAATCGCATTTGGCAAATTAAGTCCATAGAGTAGGTCAATATGTTAGCTTTAGGATTGAAAATGTATTTATGTGGCAATACTCTTTCAGGATATTCTAATTTTGGTCAAAAGCTTCCTACCCAATATTTCATGTATATTCTTGATCAGCATTAACAGACGAGTCAAATTAACCATCTCCGAAGAAAAAAAATAAATGTTGAAATTTTTTTTAAATTTCAAAATTTTGTAAGGGGTTACATCATTAAAAATGGTCAAAAATTTTAAAATTTTAAAGTTATGTAAATTAAAAAGTGAGTATGCAGATTTATTAATCTAATAAAAATTAGCATAGGAAACCTTACCGGAGTGAAATTAATGCATTTATGGCTTAGTTATGACCGATTTAAAATTGAAATTCCTAGGGAACTTGCAATTTAGTTTTCTTTTAGTTTAGTGTAGTTTAGTTTTTTGATTTCTTAACACCTCTTTTAAGGTTACATTTTCCATTATTTGTTAGTTAATTTTCCTTTTAAATATTTTCAAATTAAATAGTTTTGGAAATATGTCTAAGTCTTTAACGCTAACTTTTAACGCACTTTGATATGTAATTAGTTTTTCAAATTGGCTTTTAAACTCGTTAGAAAATGGAATGTGGGTTCTATTCTTTTTTTTATTTCCTTCTTAAGTTATTTTGTATCAGTTTTTGGACTACTTTTATTTGCTGTAACCACTTTTAATTTCAGAAAATTCAGGACTACCTTTCCAGCTTTCCGCTTCGATGGGAGACACACACTTTTCTGGTAGCTGGCTCACCTCACACCTCCGTAGAAACTGGTTTAAAGTTTATCAACTGCTTTATGTACAGAGCCAACAATTTGTAATTGTAACGGTGTGGCGGCACCAACAACAATTGTGGCAATACTGTAATGGCAGTAAATGTGGAACATAAAACAAATCGCGATTTCTGCCCCGCCTCGCTGCCGATCGATCATAAAAGCCGAAACCCAAAGCCAAAACCCAAAGCCAAGACAAGCCGAACCGAGCTGAAAAATAACAGAAGAAAAACGAAAACATTTCAGACTTGCCGTCTGGGTTGCGTAATTTGCATGGCCGGAGTTATGCGACTCTCTTAGCGGCGGCGGCGTCATGTGGCATGTGGCAAACACATTGGCCAAAAAGTTTCCGGTCCGCGAAAGAAGTCAAAGTCTAGGACAAGTGACCGACTACCAAACACCGAGTTGTTGCTTACTGTTTTTAGCCACGATATCGGTATTTCAGCTTTTAATTAGCCATAGTCTATGTTCATTACACAATTCTTAATACTCTGAGAGTATGTAGCCGGCTTGCTGCCTTTGAGTCTTGCTTTCGGTTTCAGTTTCAGTTTATATCTGGTCACCGATCCGATAACTTTTTGCTCCACTTTATGTATATATAGGAATTACTGGTGTTGGGGAAGTTCATAAAAGTCAATAAGGAATTACGATTTCCATTAGAGTTCTTGGCACTATTATTGGAAACCTGAGCTGGGCTTTGAACAGAAATTGCTGTTCAAAAAAAGCTTATAAAGTTGGGTATTAAATTCATAAGTAACTAAAAATAAGCAGATTTTCTGGTTTGAATTTCGGCAAAATTCTCTCAATGAAAGTAATTCATTAATATAGAAACTGGTCAAATAAAAAGAAGAGAGTTTAAGTTCATCAGTACAAAAATATAAAACTTTAAACCTACCACTTCTTAAGTAGATAATACCTTATAGCAACTACACAAAACTCCCGCTTTTTATAATAATTTTCCAATTAATATGCTTACAATTTCAATGACCTCTTAAAGTCACTAAACCCTATTATTTAATTATCAAATATTTCCCAGTAGCCTTAAAAATACCCCACTGCGTGTGGTTTTGTCTCCCATAATTCAATTGTTCAAACATGGATAGCATTTTTTTCAGGTTTATAATCAATCGGTTCAATGAAGCCTTCGGCTCATGCAGATTTTTGTTATGTGTTGCATGCAGTCAACACATTTTTCAGCTCTTGTTGTTGCTGTTCCATTATTATTATTATCCATTACTTTCCTGTATCTGAGCCAGTGGCCTGGCCATTCAAGCTGAACATTCCAGTGGCTTGGCTGGCTGCTCAACTACCTGGTCAAGTGAACTACTTGGCTTTAAAGCTAATGAAAAGCCAGGCCAGCCAGAGGTACAGTGAGGCAAGGCCTGGCAGACACTTGCAGCCATTTATTTGGGGTGCATTGCTCGGCGGGGAACTTGATTTGGTTTAATTGCTTTCATGACTCCGCCTTGCGTCTACGTCGCAGTTCAAGGAAACCGACAAAAATTTCCAAAACCATGTGTGTGTGTGTGCAATGGAAGGTGTTCCCGTCGTCTCTCGAAACCGAACCAGGTGAAGCCAAGCCCAAGCCCCAGCTGGAATGGTTCATTTCGGTTCGTGGGCGTAGGCACTGGCGGAGGAGCATCATCAGCGAAAAGACAACAAAAGATGATGGTGCAGACGGCCGGTGGTCCATCATTAGTAACAATAACTTGGCTAAGGACTCCTGGCCTGGCCTTGACTGGCCATTGACCGAACGAAATTGAAATTGAAATCCCAGACGGACACAGAAAAAAATGGAAGAAAAGATTGCATTTTCAAGAGGTTTCTTAATGATACAATTTTCGTCTTTATAAAGCTTACATATGTTGATCTTCCACCATATCCAATTATTACTTTTTAGTTGAATTTAAATAACTGAAAACTGACCCTCAATTCAAGTCTATATTTTTTCCTTGTGCAGGAGTCCAAGTTGGTCGATCTGGGATAGTTGTCAGTGCACTTTCGAGCCGGCTTTGGTATCTCGGATATGTAACACTTTAGCATGTATAAAGACTTATTTCTTATTTATGTAGGTTTATGTATATATCATATACCAGTTCATTACGTAATCCTCGAGCATACAGCACACTACGCCCAACTGCGTTGCCATGTGGGCCTGTATCTGTATCTGTATCTGCATCTGTATCTGCGGCAGCAACTGCATCTTGAGGTGGAGTGTGCGTGCCGAGAATTTGCATCGCTCCCTGGCCGCCTTGGGTGCGTTTTAGTGGATCTCGATTGGCCACAACTAGTTATTAACTGCGACCTTGATACACATTTACTCGTAACCTGAAGCTCACAGCACAATAACGTGTCGTGACGAACTGCGCCCGAAAATCACCGGTAAATTGAGTGTTTCTTGTCATTAACAATTCATTTTCTGGTCCAAATTTTTGGCGAACTCATTAGGCCATATCCACAATTTGGCCAAGCCACAACAAGTCAATCAATCAATCATGCAATGGCATGAAAAATCTTATTAGATTCGTTGATTTATGCGGGGTTTTCAAGAGTTATATTTAGTTGGAAAACTGTTGAAGGTCTGGAACATAGAGATTACCTTACAATTCTCTTGATGATCTATTAAATATTTAGTTTAAGAAATTGTTTTAAACGAAAATCAATAAATAAAGTTATCTTTTAATGTTATTTTCCGTACATTTCATAGCTTACTGACAAAAAACATTCTAACCTTCTGAAATTCTGTACAAAAAAAGTAATGAATATGTAATGATTTTTTAATTTTTATAAACAAATTGGACTTGAAAATTATTTTCTCGTTAAGATCAATTATTGTTTCTTTTTGTCTTCTTTCAGTTTTTATAGATTTCAGCGATTGTATCCGCAATTAATTCAATTTATTTAAGCCATTATTGACAATTTATCAGTTTTGTGCAGTGGCAAATTCCGTTCAAACAACAAATTGAACTTAAGCCAATTGTGAGTCCATTTTGTGAGCTCAATTTTCGGGTTAATAGGTAGGTTGGGGGAAATAGGGTGTATGGGGGAGTTTTGGCAGACTTAAGGTGGAGCTGGGCTTGAAGCCAACAAATGCTCGTTAAAATTTCTGACCCGAGGGCTGCCTGGGTTGGGTAATTCCTCAAATTCCTCATTCTTTGCAAAACAATTGCTCGGTGATTGTATCGCATATTTATGATGCGAGTGCCTTTGTGCCCAGAGTCTAATCTTTGATTTTTTATGATCACATGAAATGTCAGTTGGCCAACATTAATTGCTAATTGCATTGCATTGACTCGGTCACTTTCTATAAAATGCAAATAAATACGAGAAGCAAACGTCTCAATCTGCGATTGAATGCGCGTTTTAAGCTGGCAACCGAACGACCTTCGAGTGTGATTCATAAATGGCTTAGAATTGGCTCACTGTACAGTAGGGAACACTGGCACTGGTTGATCCTCCGACTTACCGCGATTAGTTGGAGTTTCATGATGGATTCGGTGGCACTGGCACTGGCTCCTCTTCGCTGTCCCAGTTTGTGGCAACACTTCCGCAAGATACAATAATATATTCCCGAAATTAGTGGCACCAGTTGCTTCTTGGCCAGACGCTGATCGCTCAAATGCTGGGCCCGCCAGGTGCGCAGACGGTTTTATAGCCGCTGCTCCGGCTTCAGCTCTGGCTCCAGGTCCAAGCGGAGCTTTAGCCAGACGCGGGAAATTTATGTGAGGCGTGTGCTTGGCATGGCTATGCAACTGAATCCCCAGGCCGAAAGTGGAGCGCATCTCTCGATGAAGTAACGAAAGTGACAGGGCATTAAGCCCGCTTTTTTCTTTATTTTTCGCACTCATTTGTGGACATGAGAATGGTTTAACTCGATCAGCTCCGGGAACGTGATGTAGTTTTAAATTACTTTTACCGCCTCAACCGAAGTTCGTTAAAATATGGCCTGATGGCAACGCTAAAGTTTAAGCTTTTCAATTAGGGCTAAAAGTGGTCCACGGAGCGTATGAGCAATGGTTGTTGCCGTGACTAGGTGTATGTTAACGTTAGCAGAGTTGCAAACCCAAACAGTGAAATTCTTTTTATGGAAACCTGATTTTATAGCTACCTTTAACTAATTTTTTCTTTAAGAAACTTAAAATTTTAGCGTTTTTTAACTTGCTTTAAGTAATTTATTAATCAACAAAGCCACAGTGTAAAAACCATAGTTTTATTCTCATTATTTAGTAAAAATCAATTAAAGAAACATAAAAGACTTCATTAATGTAAATAATTTTAATATATAATACCGTATTGGTTTCGTTAACAAATTAAAGAAAGAAAAAGACATAAAACCCTTTTGCATATCATAAAAATACAACGTTTTTAATGCAGTTAATGTAAAATAAGTATAAATAAAATAAAATAAAAAGCATATTATAGTTAATGGTGGAGTGAAATGAGAAATAAAACGATAAAGTTCGGTGTGCCATGTCCCCTGTAGTAGGTCCATTATATCACAGTTATAGGCAAATGTCGTAACGGATAGTGAGCTCTTGTCCCTGTTGTAGTTCCTGTTCCAATCCCAGCTCCCAGATCACTCCACATCCTTCATAAGGCTGATGGCAATGGCGCCAATCAGGCCACTCACACCCATTATATTCAAGGGCAGCAGGGCGTCGATGTGCTCCTGCAGGAAGATGGTAAAACAAGGTCAATGAGATTACAGGACAATCATACTAAACGATGGCAGCAGCACCCACCAGTTGCCAGAGGAAGGGCACGAGGATTAGGGCAATTCCAGAGGCCAGGTTGCCCATGCCGACACCAAAGTTGCGAACAATTGTGGGATACTGCATCGCTGTGTAGGTGGGAATGATGGCGTTATTGGCTCCAATGAGGCACTTGGCTGTGGATGATATTGGTTAAGAAGTAAAATTAAGACCCTTGTAAAACTCCTAAAAATAAGAACTCACCAATGGTGGCCAGTGCAATCACTCCCGTCTGATTCGGCATCAGATTTGTGGCCAGACAGCAGAGACCCGGCAGCAGCATATACCCTATGAGACTCCGTCGGATGCCCACCTTGAGCACCACCACAATGCTGATGCAGATGGATGCGGCCTCCACGGTACCGGCCACAGCGCTATTAATGTACACATTCCCTCCCAGGTTGCTCAGGTGAAGGGTGAGGCCAAAGTATATGATGATCAGCGTGAGCCAAATGATCAGGGTCAGACAGGTGGTGCGCCAGTACTTGGCGCCGAACACCACCAGCAGGGGATTCACATGGCCACTCACAGCGGGATCTGCAGCATCCGTACCAGCGGCTTGCACCCCTTCTACTTGGCCCGCCAGCTCTGGTGGGGATTGAGGTACCACTGTCCTTGGAACCGCAGCCTCAAGGGTCTTGCGATAGTTGCTGGGCAGGCTGCCAGTGGTACCGTTCATCCGGGCCGCTCTCTCAATTAGACCACACAACTCATCCAGGCGACCCTGGGCCAATAGCCATCGTGGCGACTCCGGCAACCAGAACCTAGAGGGGATGCAGAAGGATAAAGAAGAGCAGGACACAAAAGGTGGTGAGAATCACAGTCGTGCCCGGGTATTTATTGGCTGCTTGGAATTTTTTCATTTGATTTCAAAAGCGGTCAGCTAATGTGGCCTATCATCCCTCCGCCCCACTTGGCACCGAAGGATAAACACTGAGGAATGTCCTGGCCATGGGTTGCTTTGTCCCTGCCGGAATCTAATTGATCCCACGCATTGTATTTGTGCTCGGTTCTTGGCTCTGTGCTGTCAATTCATTTAGTTGACTGCCTGCTAAAAATGTTAACGCTTTGAAGTTGAAATCGAACGAAGCCAATAATTCCAGAGTTAACAACAAATGGAAAATAACATTTAATGGTTCTTGTGTACCTTTTTTGTTTGCTAGTGTTTAAGTCATTTCAAGTTCTTCAAAATATAATGGTTATACCCTAGACAACCTTATAGAAAGATTGAAAATAGCCTGGTTTGGATTAATCTAAGTTGGTAACTAAATTACACCTATTATAACTAAACCAAAAGCACATATAACAATGGAATTTATTGAATGGAATGTATTAAAGGCATTCAAATAAGCATAACTAATGAAAAATTTGTATGAAATTTTGGTTCTGGCATCACACAATTGAATAAATTTGTTTGCTTATTTTACCTTAATCAATTTAATTATAAAAACTATACTTTAATTGGTAAATTGCTGGCGAAACACATTTACTATAGATATACTCTAATTATGCGCAAGAACAAAGTTTAAATTCGTACGCCTAATGGCATTAATATTCTTGTTTGATTTCGCTAAGTGAACCCATCCGTGTTAATCTAGTTTAATAGGCAAAGTAAACTGAAATGAATGCAAAAACATTGCATAAACTTACCAAATGCTGAGCATGATTAGCCACGGCCAAGAGATGGCCAGCTGGAGGTGACGCCAGTCGCGGATTAGATAGGCCAGTCCGGCGGAGAGGACGTACGAGATGGCCACCGGCAGAATGTTGAGAATGCCGATTATGGTGCGCCACTTGCCGGAGACCAGTTCCACCACCAGCACGAAGCTCACAACAGTCACGGTCATTGATGCGAATCCAATTATAACACGTAGCGACATGAACATGGCCACCGATGTTGAGAAGGCCAAAATTCCACCTGCAAAAACGGATGGTGGCCAACAGGACGCCGGGCGGTAGAAGGGGTGAATGAGAGCGGGTGGTAGGAATGTCAGTGGCAAGGTCGGACACGTAAATAAGAGTGTAAAGTCAATTAAAATCCCAGCCCGGGCCAGAGAGCAGGACGAATGCAAATGCAGCTGTTAGTCGAGCGATTCATGGACAAAGCTGCATATAAATGACAATTAGAAAATGAATCCCACCCAAATTGCCATGGTCAGAATGGCAGCATCCCAACTCCCTTGGTTTTATCTCGGACTGTTGCAATTATTCGCTCTAATTTACACGGGAAAATTTTCTATCAAGGTAGCAATACTTGTTTATATATTCCTTTCATATAAGAAAAGAGAAATTTAATATTTTTGTTCTATTTCTACAAAATTTTTTTTGGCATTGGTTTGGGATATCATAGATCTATTTAATACCAATGTAAATATCGTTTTCTCGATCTTACAAATTTATGGTTTTGGCTAATAAAAACCTTTTTGAAACTGGCTTTTTAATTGATTTTCTATTTTATAACCACCTCAAAGCCAAGCTCAAGTTGAGTCTATTTCTTTGCATCTTAACTCACCGAAAACGCTCTGGATGGTAACGAATGCCATCAGCGTGTGTCGCCTGCCAAAGCGATCTGAAATCCAGCCACTGAGCACAGCTCCCGCTGCCGCACCCACCAGGAAGCAGGTCTCCACCAGGCTTAGGATGTCGCGTCCGCAAACCAGCTCGAACTCCTGGACAAGCGTCTTGGCCGATCCATCCACGTCGGAGAACTCAAAGTGCTGGCATTGTCGGTAGCCCAGTTCACTGGCGTTTGCTGGCCAGTTGATCAACTGATTGCCATCATAGGACACCTGGGAGTAGTCCACATCCAGGAGAAGGCAACCATTAGAGGTCTGACTTAGGTTGCGCCACTCGGAGACACTCATCTGCCGAAGGTGGTCCGGTTGGGCACACCAGTAGTCCTTGGGAGCAGTCTGTAAATGTGATTTTATTATATCATATTGATGAAGGAATATTTAAATATATAGGGTATAAAAATTACATTCATACCCATCTTTAAAATACGATAAACTGAAAGAGATTAAGATATAAATGCTATATTTCTGAAAAAAAGTATTAAATATATTCCAAGTGTCCTATTAAAAAGACTTTCATTAAACCATAAATAAATTTTCCATAAACCTAATAACAAAACCCAGAACTCAACTTTCTTAGAATTTCGACCACAAGTTCTCATTGGAATATATAAATTTAGGCAGTTTTTTAAAGATTCGATTCACGTTTAATGGCAAACGTGCCATACATGAGACATTAACTCTTCCGAATCAAACTTCAAGTGGGAAGTTTTGTACTTGTACAGCTATAAATCGAATCGAATCAGATATATATTTTAACCAGCCGCCATTCCAGTCGGTATTCGGTAGTAAACGTTTAAAATTTCTTCCGCCTGTTGATTGCGATTAACCCGAAGTTAGTTTGTTTTACAGCAGCTCCATTTGTCATTTGCGAGTGTTTCGTGACAGGTTAACACGGTGGAAATTACTGGATGTTGAGCTGCAACACGAACACGAATGTGCGGCCATCTGATTGATGATCGAATCGATGAAAGCGGCTTATCAATCGCGGGGGGCGAAAAGCCTTAGCTGCCGCCCCGAAAAACAACCTGCTGTACAACAGGTTGATAGCCCCTCGTCTTACATGGGACGTGTCTCAATTAAACATTTAGCATGCGGATCCGAGGAAATGGTTTCAAGTTCAAATTGGAGTGTAACAAAAAGCGAAACATTTTCAATAATTAATGGCAGTGAGAGGCGGCGGTAAAAGTGAGTGTTTCTGGTGAGTTTTCCTACGGGTTTCCCTGGCCAGCAGGCCTGGTCTGGTGACCGTTGATCGCGTGGCAGGTTGTGGCCGGCCGTGATGTCATTTGTGGCCGCCGTGGCAGGTTGTTCTGTCGCCCCGGCGGTTACATGTCACGTTTCAGGCATTTGCATGCCGACTCTCGGCCAACAATGGAATTTCTGTAGCCGCGTGGGCAGCTCTCGGCTCGGACTACACACGGACCAGATAAATTTCGTTTGATTAATCGGTTTTGCAGCCGTGCCCCAGCTGCACCTGAGAGTGCGCTTTATTCAAATGGCACATTGGTCCAAGCGAACTCCCCCCAGCTTGGGATCATAATCTTAGAGAGCTAGGTTTTAAAAGGTTTTCCAATTTTTAACTGCTCTTCACTGAATGGAAGAAAGGGGAATTTCCATGTCAATAACCCTAGCTGCATGTTGGCTTAATGAATGTCTCTAATCATTTGATCTAACTAATAGCTATTGTTAAGTGACAATAAGTGAACCATTGTCTCTAAATCAGATAAGTCCATATCCGTAATTGATTGGTTCGGAAAAAATCTTAATTAAATTTGCATTCAATTGGTTAGGTGAATGATTGTTGAGTTTATTGAATTATAATAAGTATAAGAATGTTAACATTATCAATAGAACAACTTCCTTTAACAAATAAGTAAGAAGATCAAGGAAGTCATTTAAAATTGACTGTAACATTGCTTGAATTCGTATAAAAGAAATATAATATCAATATATATATATATGTATATATAATATATTTAATGATAAGCTAGCTTTGTATTCTAGTCAATTGATTTACCAAACTTCATCTTTTCCTCTTCTCATTTTAAACCTTTTGGTAAGTAATTTAAATTGTTTTACCCAGAAGGTTACTTTAGTTTTGCTCAGCTTCTGCTTCAGATTGTCATGATCTTTTTAAAGATCAAGGTAAAGCTTCCCTTGTGGACCAATTTAATTAAAATAATTTCAGCAAGAAACAAAGGTTTGTCTAAAAATATCGGTAATCTAGCCTTCTGAGAGATATTTCAGATCATATACCTCACCGGTAAACTGGTAAATATAGTACATGCGACTGCGGTGCTCAAGGGGTGTTGTTAACTTAATTGCCACAGGGTCACCCACTGACCCTAGATGGGAAAGTATTTAAATTGCCATTTCGAATCCCAGTTCCGATCTGATTCGGTTTCCCCACTGGATTGGAGACCAGTGTGCACATTGCCAGTGCCAGTGGCATGCTGAGTGGCTCACCAAAGTATTTCTTAGCATTTTATTATTATTGTCTAATTAATATATTTAGACAGTTAGCGATCAATATTAGCCTCTGGCCGGGAGGGTAACCTTTCGAGCCCAACCTTGGGCTGGCCGAGACTCGACACCATCGATACCAGCAACCCAACCAAACACCTGATATGGATCAGTTGGGAGTGGAAACTAATTGAAAAGTCTTGCCGCACGGCTTCGCTGGAAAATCGTGTTGTCATGGTGTCTGAGCCACAGAGCTTGGACCTACCATAATCCACAATGTTGTCATCTTCACAATAAATAACACAAAGCGTGCAATTTGCGGATTTGGCCAATTAAGATAAGGCAAATCCGACACGAAGACCGTGTAAGATATATGCCATTAAATCAGTGTAAGCAAATCAATGACTTTTGGTTTGCAGGGCGAACAGTTTATATATTATATATATGTACTATATATACTGGATAGTATAAAAACAAACTTGTTTCGGCCGCCTCAGACAGTGTAAATTTGTTATTACTTCACTGCCAATTATTGTGTGTCAATAATTAAGCCAAAAGCGGTTCAGTTAAGGTTGCTTATGTTGTATTACTTAGTCTAAGGCGCACTTTAAACTCAATAATATTATTAGTTAGTTATACAGACAGTTAAACAGATGTAGAGTTTATGATTTTTTAAAGTCTCTCTCTAAACGAACCCATTGATTTTTATTCCCTGCACCCAGGTTAACAAACACATTTATTGTAAGGCAATAAAATGCATCTGATATTCGCTCTCAAAATCTCTCATTGAAACTGTATCTTTTGCCGATCAGGCAGTAGCTCGAGTATCACTGAAACGGGTTTGTCTCGCCCGCAAAAATAATAATAACCAGCTCGAAGACACCTTATCACAAGTGCGCACTGATAACTGGCATTGGGGGCGGTAGGCGGTAGGCGGTGGGCACTGAACATAGAACCTTGTCAGTTGTGGTTGTAAGTTGCTAGTAGCTGGCAGTGGAGCGAAACGGTGGCCAAACTGTAGGTGGTGGGTGGGTGGCCTCCGCACGAGCACGAGCACTCAACCCATGCGGCTTGGACTCACCTGGAACACGTAGACGAAGATGTGGAAGGTGCAGATGGCCTGGAAGATCGAAAGCAAACCACACCAGAGGCTTTGCCACGCACTAATGGCTCCGAAGAGACGCTCTAGAAGCCGCGTCTGCAGATGGTCCAGCTTGTCCAGATCCACGCAGCCCTGCAGCATGGGCGAGGCCTCGCCCGATGCCACGTCTGTGTCCGCCATCTCCATTTCTCGCCCGCTGCAGGTGGCAACCGTGTGCGACTTGCGATGCAAGTCAACTGAATTAGAATGTCGACTCTCGAAACGGAGACACAGACAGTGTCTTATGAAAAAATTCAAATTTGAGCCGGAGCGATGCCAGATCCAGATGCCAGTTTGGGCAGGTCGGCGGTGGTGGTGTTCAGGTGTCGAGAGCCGAGAGTGCGTGTGTGCCCCGAGAGATTCGGTCGAGTCTCACAGCTCTTTTTCTTTTTTAGTCAGCTTTTTATGCAGGCGCGGCGTTATTAAAGATTTCGGGGGGGCCCCCCAAAAAAGATAATAATAACAATGTCCAACACAGCGAGATGTTACGATAGCCGCCGAATTGCTTGTTAACTTTGAGTCATTAAAGAATCACTTGACCTTTCCGTGGGGAGTGCCTTGAACAACTCCTCCTCCCACAAGGCTGATGAACACTCCGCGAAGCTCCGAATTCTTTTGGTGAATCCCGCCAACATAAAGATGTCTTTATACTTCGAACCGAACTTTCTTCGGTTCTAGTTCGGGGCCACAATCTTATCTGTCTCTATATTTGATTGGTTCATGTAAATGTCACCGATGGTTTCGGCCAGATTACATTCGCTGGCCATTAACAATTGCTTATTGTTTGTATTTCTTTCCTCGATAATATTATGCTTATCAAACGAAAATAGTCCATTAAAAAAGGCGCCGGGGCCACCAAAGTATAACTAGTCTTATGTGTTTTATTATAGTATCAGTCAGAAGTGGCAGGTTATTGTCTATTTCGCTACTATTTTCTTTTTATCGCCAATAAATAAAGTCACTGGCACATGGGGAACTGATAACTGATAAGGAAATTTAAGATTATTTTAGTAAACGGGTTGGAGCCCGAAATCTCTAGACAACACAACCCATTAAGTTTGATATCAGCAAATGGTTTGACAAACATTTTAATTAATATTTATGAAAAGTGGTTTCGAAGTAGTTGTATTTCTTATTTGTTTCAAATTTTTCAATGTATATTTAGTATAGAATAATTTACTGAAAAACTGTATAAACTCTTAAATTTCTATTTGGTTAAGAATTAGCATCCACGCGCAATTGGGGTAGTTATTAATGCTGAAGTGCAACCAAACCACTTATTGTTTCTCAAAATAAATTCTATAAAACATCTTTGTTTACTTTTTCGTTGATTATTTTTGTATTTGTACAAATTTGTACTATGTATATATTTCCAAATATCACAAAATGTTGATTAATGTTCTACTATGTTTCATGGTAAGTTTAGAAATATAATATAGATCTATTTATTTCTATGAAACCTGATCTAATTTAGTTTCGGTTGTATACCGTATTATCTCACGAATAATAAGCTCTATAATTAGCGTTTTGTAATAGTAATAAACACTACTACTACTAGTAAATTGATGGTTACAACAATACATATTTTACAACTTTACATGATCACGATAAGCTTACTTCATATCTTAAGGCAGCTCTAGATAACTGCAGTGTTCAGATAGAGATATAGATAACCTCCTTTTCTTGACTCTCTTCCAAATCGAATGACCCAACATATACTCCCTCTTGCATCATTCCCCACCTAAGGTCAACTGTGGCCAATCTCTGTTCTTATCGCCCAATTTATTGGCTCTCAATTAGTGTAATTAACCTCCATTGGTCGAACTTCTTGTGTCTTTCGATGACTGTTGCAACTTCTACATCGATTATGACTCTAAGCTTTATTCGCCCACCGATCGTGTGTGTCAAGGTCGTTTGAGTGTGTGTGCCCGTGTGTGTGCGGTTTTTACCTTTTCAGTGGGACATTAGCACGCTAGAGGAGTGATTACCGTGATTGTGGACCTCGAAACCATAGGCAAATGATGCGCACGCAACTCCCTGCGATAAATGGCTTCCAAGTGGAAAAGTGGCTAGGTGACAGCCTCCCTGGAAGTTGGTCAAAGGTGCCCCAAGGTCATCAATGTGGGGTCTCGAGTGGCGTTTTGCGGGCTAAGTGCTCCTCCGTCGCCTGAAAGTGATGGCCGAAATTGGCATGCGAATTGTGATTGCGAGTCGGCGGCCAGCCAACTCAAGTGGAAGCGCCCCGAGAGTGTGTTATCAATTGTTTTCGGTTGTATATTTGGGCTACAGCTTGTTGTTACTCATTTTACGCATACTCATCTACTTAAAAAAAAAAGGCTGATAAATAGCATTTTGTAATAACCCAAATGGTATTTATCTCTACTTTCCCCAGCAATTACTTCATTGTCAACGAGTTGCATCGCAGAGATACACTTCCCAACGGAACAACCAATCAGTGTGTTATTAGTTATTACTGTGTGTCACTTTACAGCTATCAATCAATCAATTGCAATTTTTTTTCCGGAGTGGGAGTTTGTTTTTGTTTTTTTGGGGGAGGGAAGGTGGGTAAACTATATAGCTTTACTATGCCCACCAAAATATTGGGTTTTGCGACGCAATCAGCTGGGCAAATATTTGGCCAGCCATAAAAGCCGAAACTCACCTGGAACACAAACATAAACAGGTGAAAAGTGGTGGGCAGCTGGAACAGGCAGAGGAGCAGGGTCCACAGGAAGCTCCAGCGGGTGTAGTGTCCCAGGAAATTCGATATCACATCGCTGTCCGCATCCTGGCTGAGGTCCCTGGCCGGTGGCTCCTCCTTCTCCTGCTCCCCCTCCTTGGGCGGCTTCTTGAGGTCCTCGGAGTAGCGACGGAAGTCCAATGCAATGACACTGATTTCCGGAGTCTTTGGGCCCGGCCTCGTCTCACGATATCCGCCATACAGGTTCGCCTCGAGGCTGCCCCTGCCCTTGTCCCGCGGCCCGCCCACGCAATCGAAATTCAGGGATCCGCGACGCAGCACGCCACTCATAATGGAGCTATCAGTGAGTGGTTTCTTGGAACGTCCAAGACTTCCGATCGATCGATTGATTGGGAAATTGGAAAGGAATTGTGTGGAAACTCGCGGCGATCGTTGGTTTCTCAGCCGTCGGCGGCGATCTGGAACCGTTCAAAGTTTCGCGGCTCTGTTATAAGCACTCTGTAAGTTGGCCAGAGAGCGAAAGCTCATTGGCTCAGAGGTATTGCCAGCAGCGAGAAAGATCGGGGTAAAGCTACCACTTTGACTACCCCACGATAGCTCCACTTGGCGCAGGCCTTAAAGCTCCACAAAGTTTGTACTCGGGTGGAGAGTTTTTTGAGTTCAATTTAAAAATGATTTAATGGATTAATTCCATATATAATTACAAAATTAGTTGTTAGAAGAGATTGAGAGATTTAAATTTATTAGAATGTAAATAATACTAATATTTGGGAAGCCAACGTTTGTATATCCTTGGGAGTTTCATAACTAACAAAATTTTTGAAAATTTTAACGATGTAACCCCTTATAAAAAAGGTTCAATGAAAGAAAAGCCCAAAAACCTAAATAAATATTTGATAGCCCCCTTAATTCCTTCATAGCCCGTTACATAAATTCAAAGTTATCTATTTATTCATACTTTATTTTGACACTATAATCGCGTTTGCTTTGGTAATTTTGATTTACAACAATTTTCATAAATTTATTCAAGTGTTTCGTTTCGCTCAACACCGTTCAAACTTATCAATTAATTGAATTTCATATTAGATTCTAGTATTCTTTCATTTATTTGAAGCTTAGAAAACTGACTTATTTATAACAAATACACAACGAAGCTGATCCTGATCCTGATCTTAATGGGTAAGTACAATAGGCAACGGAAGTTCAACATACAAGTTAAATAGGCGAAATAAAAGTACGAAAAATAATACAAAAAAAATACGTACAATGAGCAACTAACAACATGGTAGGTTTTTTAATAAGTACAACAAGTAATTCAACAGTTTTGTTTTTTCTAATTGATTGCTTTTGTTTTGGTTTCTTGTTCTGTTTTGTTGTTCTACTTTTGTCTTCACTAAATATTCATACACAAACGCACACGTATCCATATACACATAATTGTATACATTGTTAAATGCATTATATTGGAAATTGATTTAGTTCTCTTCATATACATACACATATATATATATATATATTCATTGGTGGCTCTTTAAACAATAAAACTCCTTGTATGTTCCATGTCCCTGCACACAAACAGACATATATACAAATCCATAATTGACCGATGCTTAGAGACTGATCTGTGGTACATATATAAGTATATATGGTAAGGATTAATTGACTACGATTACTAGAGATTACAATTTGCCGCTGGAGTCCGCTTACAGCTTCGTTTCTTATTGATCTCGTATTGGGAAAAAACATTTATTAATAGACAACAAGAAGACAACGACGACGACGACAACGACAACGACGAGATTATGTGTACGTTGAGATATTGACAAGACGTATTGACAAGAATATATTTTTGTTGGTTTTGTTTTTTGTTTTGTGTTTGCTGCGCGAACATTGGATTCGTTTTTTGTAATAAGATTAGCAATACAGTAATTGTAAGGCTCTACATTTAAGGGTAGTTTACTGGGCTATTATTTATCCATTTTATATATTAATAAACTTTTCTTAGGGAGGTGCACATTACGGAGTATTTTAATTTAATTTTCAATTAATAAAAATACGGAAAATAACAAATAAACAAATAAAAAAGTTAAAAATAAGATATATATCAAAAAACTTATAAGTTAAAATAGAGTAAAAATGAAAGGGATTTGATCAACTCAAAATAACTGAAAAAATGAAAATGGTAATTAAATTTCTGGTAATTAGAAAATAAAAATGTTTGTGATTTGATAAAGATTGAACTATTTAAATACGATAAAAGCATAGATACAAATATATAAACATCAATTATACAATTCCTCCCTAAGTTCTGTGTTTAGTTTCTTACCTCCGGATAGTAACCGAAGAACTTAAGCTATTTCGAGGGTTTCTGGTATTGATCAGTGATCACTGATCAGTGTGTTTACTTAGACTATGACATAAGCTACAAGCCATGGTTGTTAGTTAATTGTTAAGATACATACTCACTACATGCTACGCAAACAAGGTCCTGCCTGACATATGTACGACATTCTCTAGCGAATTGGCATTACTCTTGGACTTTCATTGGATCGATTACCGTTAATTGCAGGTGGCTTCGGGGCGTGGCAGGTGGGCAGGTGAGCAAGTGCAGCAGCAGATGCAGCAGGTGGGGCTGGCTGGGGCTTGGGTCAGGGTGGAGGGTCAGAGGCAGCTCATCTTCGGTGTACTTTTGGACCAGCCAAGGTACACTCTTCCTTCGGGTGGGGCGCTGAGCAGGTGAAGGGGCTTATTTTGAGCATCAGCGGTCATTACACCTGCTTGGCAGCACTGGCATTTCCATGGGCATTATGTGTATTGGCGGCACCCTGGTTGGAGGACGCTTTCGAGCGCACAGCGGTCTCCGGCAGGAAGAGGACAACGACGCCGCCAAAGATGCTCCAGGCGGTCAGCAGGCTCATCAGCAAGTGGCCCTCGATCTTGTTCTGCAAAAGAGGCGATATAATGTTAAGAGTAGGAGTTCTTAAGCCAGGATACTTACGAGCAGCGATAGGTAGGGTGTAAGGATCAGGGCCAGACCGGCGGCCACATTGCAGGCACCCACGCCCACGTTGCGTATGGGTGTTGGATAGAGCTCCGCCGTGTACACCGGCATTATGGTATTGCCCGCACTGATGGTGAACTTGCTTATCATCAGGAATGTGATCTTTAGCCAGAGCAATTCCGGCTGTCCCTCGGTAATTGCCGCGCAGCAGCAGGCGACGCCCGTACAGATCAAAGTGGCGCAAAAGAGCCACTTCTTGCCCACCTTGGTGATGATGTACATGGCCACGGCGATGGCGGGTATTTCGACTAGGCCAGCTAGCGCCTGTGGAGGAGACAAGTCAAGGAGGAGAGCGGATGAGCGGATGAGCAGGGCAAGTGGACAAGATGTCAGCTGTCGGCGGGCCGCATTAAATCAGAGCGGCATCAAAGGTGCTCCTGGCGTTGTCAAAATAAATTATGCAATAAATTAGCTGAGAAGCCCCCTGGCATGCCCATTGTTGCTATCTGGTCAGTGTTGAGCAATTAGCGTAAATTTATTTAACGGAAATTAAATTAAAATAACTTTATTTAATGGTGAAGAACACAAACAATTGGAGCAGTTTCGAGTTTAGCTAAATATGTTCAAGATATTTGAATGATTGATTTCAGTGTTACTATGAAATAAAGATATTTGCAGCTTTTGTGTTTTCCCTCATTAATGATTCTAATAATTTAATTAAAAATAACTTGATTATGAAATAAATACCTAAATCTGCTAAATAAATGTTTTTGCTTCCAATTTACCAATATAGTAATAAAGACCATAAGTTATTTGCTAGACAGTGTTTTGTCATGACAACTTTCCATTTAAAAGTCAATACCACTCAAAATCAAACTAATTATTGAATTACTCGTGCGAAGAAGAGCAAACACAGAGATCAGACAGCCTTAAGCGCTTTAGCGTTTTAAAACAATCAAATCCCGAAACAAATGCCGAGCATGTTTTGCATATTGTTTACTCTTTGGCCGCTAATCCAAGGCCCGTCAGCACTGTGCCCAACATCCATTTGGCCAACTGCCAGTTGGAGGGGGCTAAGATGGCAGTGGCTGTGGCCGCGGCCGCGGCAGGATTTATCCACTGGCACATCTGTTATCTATAGAGGACAGGGGTGGGGGCAGCAACATCATAATTCGATTGCAAACACATTTTCACACCGTCCAGTGGTCGAACCAGCGGCACTTGACATCCCACAGACATTCTTCTCGGTATTCGGCTAATGGAATTGCTGACAAATCCAATTAGGCGCCCATCAGCTATCAGCAGCACCACTTGGCACTTGCTAAATGGGCTTGATTGATCCTATATGCTGACACAATTTCGGATGCTGGATGAAGTCTTCCCAAAGTGATTGTGCCAGGCCACACTGCGTATACTTAACGCGCCCCCACTGCGTATACGTAATACAACTCACCGAATTCAAGTAGACATTGCCGCCAAAGGAGCTCATATTGAGAATGATGCCATAGTAGACCAGATTCATGGTGAACCAGATGCAGAAAAAGCAAATGGAGATGCGGCGCAGGTAGCTGGAGCGGAACAGGTAAGTGACATCCTGCGAGCTGCTCTCCTGTGTCGGCGGCGACAGCTGATAGTCGGGAGGCAGCTGGCGTCCATTGAACTTGGCGGCCGCCTCGATAATCCGTCGCACCTCATCGAGCCGACCCTTGACCAGTAGCCAACGTGGCGATTCCGGTACCACAAACCTGCCGGATATCAGTACACAAAGGTATATAGATTTAGAAAATGTTCAAAAGAAGAAGAAACCCAAGTGAACCAGAGCCATATATCAAGCGAAACATGTGCCGCAGCAAATTATGCCCCTCTGTTTATAGTGGCGGGGGAACACCCACGCACCTGTTTTCCCCCATTTATTCACTAGTCCGCGATCTATATACATACATACATCTAGATGCGGACACATGCGAATAAATTCAGTTTTTGTTTACTTTTCGTTTAAAGCGTTCTTACCAGAGAAAGCAGAGGAAAATGCCGGGAACCCCGATGCACAGCTGCAGACGCTGGTAGTCCTGGGTGAGATAGGCCAGGCCCGAGATGATCATGTACGAGATTGGCAGTGGAAACAGGTTATACATTCCGGCAAGGGTCCGCCACTTGCCGTCCACATACTCGATGGCCAGGATCAGTCCCGAGTAGGTGACCGATACGGATACCAAACCCAGCAGGGCGCGGAGCGTCAAGTAGAGCTCAAAGGAACTGCAGATGTACAGCCAGAGGCCTAGGGGAATAAATTAACAATTAAAAATGAATAATTAAAAAACACATTTGAGTCTTACAAAGAGAAAGAATATGACCCTATTTATGTGGTGTTTATAGGTTTCTAAAACATACATATCTTTTACACCCTGAACTTAAGTAACTTTTTGGTTCAATTTAAGGTCTGAACCTAAAGTCAAAGCTACAAATTTAAGTATTTATCTTCAAGTTGTCCCCCTAGTAACCCACTGACTTCTTAACCAAAGTAATCCGTCGCAATGCAGCAGAGCAATCACGTACACGTGCCAGTCCCTCATTAGTAATGTCCTTTTGGATGCAAATTTCAATTATACGTTGTGTGAGATTTAATCAACAAGGACAACAAGGCTGGCTGGCTGACTGGCTGACTGGCAAGAGCCGCCTGGCAGCCACAACTGCAGCTCGAGTCCCCAGCCGACCCTCTTGGCCACTCAACCAATCGACCACTCGACCATCTGGCACCAAGCCCCACACAAAACCCACAGAGAGCCACTCGATGTGCTCGTGTTGACCCCCGTCGACATGGCCAAGTTCACAGTCACCGGAGGAGGACATCGTCAGGGCCAATGTCACTGTGACTTCCGTGTGCAGGGGCGTACATATGTACAACACAGGAGGAGGATGAGATGGCCTTTATGCACAGGCAAGCACTCACCGAATAAGGTCTGCAGCACGGCCGATATGAAGAGCATTTTCTTGCGCCCAAACTTGTCCGATAAATAGCCAGAGAGGATGCCACCTGTTGCCACGCCGAGCAAGAAGAACATTTCAGCGACGTTCTTCAGGTGCTCCTTGTCGCACACCAGATCCCACTCCGATGTCCAGGTGTTGCCCACATTGTCATGCGTCTCGTACTCCCATTTCTCGCAGGCCACCAACTGTCTATCCCCATCTGGTGGTTTCTAAAAAAGATGGATTTCAGTCAGACAATACTTATAATTAAGATGGGATCATAATTATAGGTACTTCATCTCACCTTCCACTCTGTGGGCATCGCCGTGCCATTGCCCACCTGACTCCAGTCGATGCCCTCCCAGCGGTGGCAGTTGTCAATGGAGCCGGTGAGATTGCGCCAGACATCAACTGGAAGCTGCTGCAGCTCCTCCGGCCGCTGGCACCAGAAGTCCTTGTTGGCCGCCTGGTAAATGGACGAGGATATGTGAAAGGTGTTGGGCACCTGGAAGAGTGACAGCAGCACGGTCATTAGCAGCTGCCATTTGCCATAGTGACCCATTAGATCGCCGATCACATCGGTCTCATCCTCATCATCCGTTGGAGCCTGGGGATCCAGACCAGCTGGTGACTGGGGCGTTGCTGCCATCTTGCTGGGCGGGATGGTGGGGCTGGTGGTTGCGGTGGGGGACGGCTTGCCGGTGTCGTGCATGATGCACAAAGGAACTGAAAGGAAAGTTGAAAGGGAATATGTTAAAATATGCAAATTATTTAAAGATAAAAGGGTTCAGAATATCTTTAAGTTCAAAGTACTATAATTTATGCATCTTTCAGATTGTTTGTTAATGTTGAAGCAACATTAAAACTAAGAAATACTTTATTTCTTTTGACCAACTTCCCAAATTAATTATGATTATGATTTTTAAATATTAATAAGTCTCTTGGATAACAAATTGTTAATTCACAAGTTGCTTAGAATACACCGCATACCCAAAATCAATATGTTTCCCTTAACCTAGTTTTATTTATCAAATAAACTACTCAATTAACTAACACACCAAGCACAATTAGAGCCTCCAGACATTCGGTTCTCCATCAACCGAAGATAAATAAAGGCCAGGAAAGGAATGCAGATTGGCAAGATTTAGCTGAGGGGAACATGCAAATAATTGACTTGATAGATGCCAAGCGCAACGAATTCTGCGGTTGCTGTGGATACAGTGGTATTAATTTTATTGCCCGTGTCAGGAGCACACAAAGGAGCAATTAGTTAAGTGGTCAGTGACTGGCCATAAACCAAGTTGGAGGCAAAGGCAAAGGCAAAAGCCTCTCAGAAACAGTTCGAATGCAGTCAAGTCAAGCGGCTCTATTTCATTTATTAGGGCAGCCCCCGCTCCGAGCAAGCAGCTTCCAGCTCCTAGCTCCCAGCCATCAGCTCCCAGCTTGTGATCCCGGCCAAGGATGCCTGTGTCCGGTCATTGGTCAACCTGCGTTCGATGGAATTCAATCACGTTGGAGGCGATTAACTGCAGCAGCAGCCCGAAACCGGCGAAAGTTGGGTGCTGAGCACCGAGCACCGAGCACTGAGCCAGGCCGAGCCGGGGCAGCTCTACAAAGTAGAAGAATAATAGCCAAGATTTAATGTAATTGCGTTTTGGGGTGGAGCCGTCGCAGGAGGAGGAGGAGGCAGCTCGTGCTCCTGCCATGTTCGTGTCCTTTTGCTGGTTGAACTTTTTCCCCATTCGAAGAGCCGCATCCTTTCTCCGCTTTGCCCCGTTTGCGATTTCCTTTGTGGCTTTCGCAGCAGCGCATTGGCTTTGTCTGGACTTTGGCTTTGGCTATGGCTTTGGCCAGAATGGATCCAAGGCATATATGTAGTTGAGCCCGAAGGTATCAATGCCCAAAAGTAGGCAGCAGGCTGGCAAACTTTTCCTCAGGCATTACTTTACTTGGACTTTAGTTGGCCGACTTAAGTGTTTAATTCTTTTCAGTTGATTTACCAACGTGGTATAATCAAGCCAAATTAAGCGATTCACCCGCAGGATAAAGGCATTTGTATAGGTAGGCTAAGAAGATTTCGGGATTACCTAGGGATTATTCAGTAAAACGAACCAAAAATGCTTAAATAAATAAGTGAAAGGGGTTTGATGCGAAATTTTATGGTTGAAATACCATTTCCCTTATTCACAAAAACTTGTCAGCATCCTGGGTATCCCAGGATAAGCCATGAATCAAGTACGCTCACATATCAATCAGCAATGCCAACATTTATGGTGCAAACTCTGCGGGCCGAGAGTTAAATTTGCATATGTCCAAGCCCCCGGAAGAGATATTCCATTTAGGTGGGGATTTAGCATATGTGACCGGGTGGCCACTGGGCACTGCGGCTGCGGTGGCACAAGGATGAGGATTTTGGATGTGGCTGCGGCAGTAAAATTCACGCCATACGCCGCACGTGATAAGCAGTTGAGCGCACATTTTCACGCACTTGTAAACAGGAATAAGCGAAGCGTGTCCGCGAAAAGCCGCGGGCACAGACCACGTCACATTCCCTATTTCCCAGTCTCTGCGTTGGCAGCCTCCCTCCCAGTTCAGAGCCCCGTTCCTGCTGCCCAGGCAGGATAATTAATTATCAATTTTATAGGCACCCTTCATTCCATATGGCTCCTCGTCCTCGTCCTCCGGCAGTTTTAGTTGCTGTGGGGCTAAGCTTTTGGCCAACGAAGTTACTGGACGCTGCTGGGCACTGATGGGCGTTACTGCCACAGATGCAACTGCTGGCCGAAGGTCGCCGCCATGTCGTCGTGTGGGCACAACGGCTCAATTTCAATGCTATAAACTACGTCGTCGGCGTTTACCTTCAACTCGCTCGGCGCACATGGCGTATGTGCAATATCATGGCACGCTGAAAATAACGCTAATTGCATTCTGCAGCTGTTGTCGGCCTGGTCACACCCCAGCTGCCCAGCTGCCCAGCTGCCCAGCTTCCCAGCTCCCCATCCCTGCTCCTGCTCCTGCTGCTCCCCTGTCACACAAGTACCAACGGGTATGATCGGGCAGTTTGACAAATCGACAGGTTCTCCTGGTTCTCAGATTAAAATAACTCAATTAATAAATTGAAAACTGACGCAGAGGGATTCTGCTTTAATTAGAAATAATTATTTTCAAATAGGAAGCTCAATGCAGCGAATGGGTATTTATTTTATAAAGAATATTTGACGTTTTGTGATAACATTGAATTATATAACATAATATTAAGCAAGCTCTAAATACAAGATAGTTTCAAGACAAGCGGTAATAAATATGTTTATATTTTAAAATTACAAATATTTGACAAATAATATTAACATATGTGACATAGAAATACAACAGCTATAAATAATATTTAATCTGTCAAGAATTCACCTCTATGAAGTGTAAGGCTATAAAAATAATTGAATTTATAGTTTGATGTCCACATTAATATTTAATTGACTGGCTTTGCATTAAGTTATTCAAGCAATCGAGAAGTACATCAGTCAAACCATAGTTTATCTCCCCGACAGCTGTCCATAAAAATCAGAACTGGTCATTGGCGCAATATATATCTACGCGATCTTGTTCTCGCTCTCTTTTATTTAATATATTTTTATTTTCATGCATAACACAACACCGAGCTCATTGTGCTACTATTAAAGATACATGGATAGATAGTGCATATAATTTTTTCACACCCCATGCTAATCGAGCTGCAATGGCCCATGTCCAATTGGTAATTACGTTTACATTGTGGCCATAAATAACTAATTATAATTCCATGCACGTTCATAGAAATGCATGGTGGCACCACGGATCCACCAGTTCCCAGGGAGAGGAAACCGCTTTTGGATCTCTTGACACGCTCCGCCAGCGCCGAAGCGCCGCAATTGAACAAGATCCACACACAAGCTCCTCTAATAATGATTTGTTTCAATTGAAAAGTCAATGCCAGAGCTCTCTCTCACTCACCCCCACTGGCCATTAATAATTTGCTTAGCTTCCATTCCTGGTTAATTAAAAAATAGCAGCGTAAAAAAATAATATCAGACGGCGCTTAAGACAATTGACGAAGGGTGAAAGAAAGAGCGAGGCTTTCTTGTTGCTCACATTTGCATAAAAATGCGGGAAATTGTTCCCGGTGGTCATAAAAGATTAATGAATAATAAATTTAATTAACTTGGGAGTGTACATGTGTGTGGAGTTTCCCTCGTACTTGGGTCTTTTCACACATTGATAGATTTACAATTTTACGATTAAAGCACAAATTTCTTTTGACAAATATGGGAATATTGTGCTACTATCTCTCATATTTTTAGCAAATGAAATTCAAGGAAATTCCAACACAAATTAGGGTTTGGTAAGCCAAAGTTAAAGTGCATATAAATAAGTATATAAAAATAATTTTATTGTATTATTGCCTACCAATTTTAAGTAAATAAATAAATATAGAAAAAAGCCTTATTTCTTCGTAAAGGAGATGTTTGTTTGACAAGTTATTTGCTAACAAGGTTAGGTGCACAGCAGGTGCACAGTAAATAACTATTGTTTATACTCCAAAGATGAACTTCTACTGGCAATCGTTTAACAACAATTTATTATGCTATACCTATTCGAACTATATATAAACTACTATATATTATCACTCCGTAATGTTTCCACGGAATTCTCTAGCCGCTTAAGCACCCCAACGAATCTCGCACAATGACAAATTTTAGGGGGGTTCCCCCAGGCAATTACAACTGGCCGGGGTGTAAATAATCAGAAGCGAGAAAGAATCGCAGCAGCGTCATAATCACAAAAGCCGAAATGTGCTAAATATTTTTAATACAAAGGCAAAGCGTTTAGCTTCGGGGAGGCAAGGGAATGGGAATGCGGTGCGGAGATGAGAGAGGCAGACAAATTGTCGCTGTAATTAGCCGTCATGCATATAAAAGTGCATTCACTTTCATGCCACGATAGAGCAGCGAAATGAGAGTGCCGGGGGCTGGTGATGATGATGATGATGATGATGATGATGATGATGATAATGATGACGCCTGGTGCCGCATCTGCATTTGGATTTGCATTTGTGCACCAAGCACGGCTCGGTGACGTTGCCAGCTAATTTGCACATTTATAGGATTTGATTTGTTTATTATGCAGCCGCCTCTCCGCGGCGGAGGTGGAGGAGGAGGAGTATGGAGGACTGCTACTGCCAAGTGGGTAATAGTAATCTTCAGACACTTGCACGCAGCAATGAGCTGCGCTTCCGTTGCACCGACAAGTGGCCCTCGGTGCGGATGAGCGATGACGACGACTGAGATGCAAGTGGAAGATGGAAGGCAGGGTGGGGCAGAACACATCCCGCCGGATGACGGCCCGTCATCTTAAAGCATTGGCCAGCCTCACTTCATCACTTGTCACGCTAATTGCAGCCGTGTGACAGCCGCTTTCAGATAAGTAACGGCACAAACAACGGCAGACACAAAAGGCACAGCGCACACCACGGGGCGTATGCGCAATGCTTAGTTAGCAAATTGCATTTAGTTCGGCAAGCGGCTATTGTTGCTAATAATCGATGATGATGATTTTAGCCCACATGCGAATTGTAAACAATTCCATTCGAATTTTCCATATCGGCGATTTGCGCACGAACGCGCTGCAAATGGACCGTCCTCGGTTCGATCGTCTTTCGTCTTTCGCCTTTGAAATTTACGAGTTCACGCTCC